GACAACATTCCATGATTAGTCATGTATAAAGGAGTGGGAAGTGCCTGGAGCAAATTTCGTGAGTAAGTTCAGTGTGTTACGGTTAAATCTATACAGTTTACCGGCTGTTGATAGTATTTTCCATTTAGGCCACACCAATTCAATTTGTTGGTTCTCGGATTTTTTCAGGAAAAATATGAAGCGACAGGGCGAAAAAAAATAAAAATAAAAACAAATCTAGGCATCCTATTATAGCCCCAAATGCTACGATAGGAGGTATGAAGTCAACACAAAAGGCTGGTTCAAAATTTAAACAATGAATTTTGAACTTCTAATGATACCACTGCATTGAAAGATGGAATAACTGTAACGACTAGGAAGAAAAGGACTGTTTTCAACTGTTCAGGGCAAAATATGAGCATTTTGCAGTTGATTCTGAATTTTTTTTTTTTTTTGCAAATCAGGAAAAAATGAAGAGGCGAATCCGAGAACCAACAAATTAAATTGGTGTGGCCTTAGCATAACCTTTATGAAAAGGAGCTTAAGTGTCAGTATGAAGTCTCTGACAGGTACAGTTTTGAGGTATCATGCTGAGATTGAGAAGTAAGACCCCCTACTTAGAAGTTACACATACAACAGGTGTGATATGTCAGACATATGACACAGGAACCAAGGCCAAGGATACAATGTCTGGACCTGTTTTTAATCTTAATGTAACCACATTCTAGTCTACTCTAATGGCAAAATTCAATTAATTCTTCTTAGTTAAACATGCAATGGTGCTTTATGCAACAAGATGTAATTCAGCATCTCACTGCATGTTGGCACAATTATACATGTAGTGCATGTATTGTAATTACACATTCAAGGACACCTTGGTCCTGGATGCTTCCAAGAGTTTTTTTCCAATAGTTTACACCATGCATTCAAAGGACTTCCTAATACTATGATATAAGGACTCAAATAGACATGTTTTCTTAATTATTTGATACACATAAAGAGCAAAGGCAAAAGTCTAGGCAAGTTATTTTTGCAGGAGCTAGCTGCAGGTGGGCGGGGAATAACCTGGGGATTCCCCCCATGTAAATTACACCAGAGTACAAGGGACCAGGACCAAGTCGCCATCTTGGAAGTTGGAGCAAGACTTTGTATAAAGGTAAAGCACACTCTCAACGGTCCTAACTCCTATATTACTTAGCAATGTATGGGGGGGAAAAGCAATCACTAGTTTATAGGGGTTAGTGTTATACCTATGTACATGTAGTTACAATTACAACTGCATACCACATAATCAAAGCTCTAACTATCTACCAAATTTTGCCATGTCCAATTTTGTACCGGTACCATTATAATATATTTGACTTTACAGGCGTCAGTTAGATGGTAAAGAAAAAAGTGAAGTGCAAAAAGCCTAAACTTCTCAGTACCTAAGACTAGAAGAGAACTGCTTTATCTGCCTTCAGTACTAGTGGTGTTTGTGCACAATTTACTCATTGTATAGTTTAGATATTTTTTTCTTCATTACTGCCAGTTAAAAGAAACAATTTGTTTTTGACTCGACAATACTTTGCACAATTTCATGATCATACAGGTTTCTGCAAAATGCCTGTTCATTGTGGCCCCCAGTCTGAACAGGACCTTCTGTCCACGCAAGAGGTAATGTTTTGACAACACAATAATCACTGTAAAAATCATTATTCTCATGAATGAATTATCATGATCATAATGACTAAAACTAGGGCCAGGAAGCAGACAATTCATCAAGAAGAGGTTAGACAATGATATTTATTACTATCATCCTAAATACATACTAGTATATTTGATAATTAACTATAGAATTTTTTTGTCTATTTTACCAGTCATATTAAAGGTAATGATTACCTCATAACAGATAATACAGCTTGATTAACAGAGTAATCAATTCAAGTTTCATGCTAAAACTATAGGTAATGTAGAATGGAAAATTATAAATGAATCTTTTTCAGTTTATATAAGTTATAGGAAGAATTTGATTAAAAGGTACCCCTCTTTCCACCTGAGACCTCAAAAATGCATTGCTATATAAATTCAAACATTTTCAACACAGGTTACTGAATCTGCAACACCTTCATTGATGGATCAGATCAAAGAAAACATGAGTCAGCTGCTGCAGAAAGCTGCACAGGAAGAGGAGGGGTGGAAGAAACAAATTGCTTCTCTTGAGACTGAAAATCAGGAAAACATCAACAGTTTCCAGCAAGAAAGGAGCATGCTGGAAGCCGAAGTGGAGAGTACAAAGTGTACACTGTACGACAGTCAAAAATACATCAAGAGTCTGCAGGAGCAAAAGGACATGCTAGAAGCTGAAGTGGAGAGTTTAAAGTGTACTCTGTATGAGAGGCAAAAATACATCAACAGCCTCCAGCAAGAATACGACAAGCTAGATTCCAAAGTGAAGGACCTGGAGCATACACTTGACGACAGGAAGCAAAACATCAACAGCCTCCAGCAAGAAAATAACAAGCTGAAAACCAAAGCACAGAGAATGACAGGTACACTGTATCTAAGGCAAGACAACATCAACAGTCTCCAGAAAGAACAGGGTGTGCTAGATGCCAAAGTGAAGGAACTTGCCAGTACGCTACATGAAAGCCAACAGAGTATTGACAACCTCCAGCAAGAAAAGAGCACGCTAGAAGCAAACTTGAAAAAACTAGAGAATCAAAAACAGATGGACAACCGTCGGATAGACGACTTGTTTATGTCTAAGCAGGTTCTACAGATGACTCTGTACTCATCTTCCTATCAAATGAGAAGAAGGTAAAGAGTTATTTTAAGCTCTGGCAGTTGGATATTCTGATAAATTATGTTTTGATTTTAATCAAATTGAAGCATACTTTTAAATCTACAAATTTATTTCTTAGATCTAGATTCCGTGGAGAGAAAAATGGCCGTGCCCTGATCATCAACAACACTCAATTCACAACATCAGCGATGACAGAAAGGACTGGTGCAGAAAGAGACCATCGTAAGTACATAATATTCAATTTGCTATCTAATACTAGCTGGGCTTTTTTTCAAAAGTACCCTCCTGCAACTACTTGCAGAGAAATTACAAGACTTGAAGAGAAAAACTACAATATATAATATTATAAACAAGTTGAAATTTTGCATTCAGATAAGAAAAATAACATTGGTAAGAATTTAACTAGTCATGTACTGGTACTATATTTCACATTGCCTGATACCAGCTGTGTATGATAAAATGATTTTCCACTCTAGAAAAACTGGCAAAGGCTTTCCAAAGCCTACCAGTCAACATTGATGTGAAGACCCACCAGAACCTCGAGCTGTCAACCATGCTGAACGTCCTCCGAGACGAGGCCAACAGAGACCATAAGGAAGAAGACTTCTTCATTTGCTGCATTATGACCCATGGGACACAGGGCAAAGTGTCTGCATCTGATGGTTTTAGTGCTGAACTTCTTGATATTCTTTCCCTCTTTAAAGGGAAGCAATGTCCCACTCTTATGGGTAAACCCAAGCTGTTCTTTATCAGTGCATGTCAGGGGGATAAGGACCAAACTTCAGAAAAAGAAGCTCATTCTGATGCGTCACCCTCACCTATCCTGGCATACCTCTCAACAGAGGCTGATTTCTTGCTAGCTCTAGCCACAGTGCCAGGGTACTTGTCATACAGGGGGGAGGATGGGGCTCACTTTGTCGATGTTCTAGCAAAAGTGTTAAAGGAAGATGGAAAATCTCAAGACCTGATGAGTATGATGGCTACAGTCAGTAGGGAGATGAACAAGAAATTCAAGTACAGTCCCTTCTGCTGTACAACACTCAGGCACAAGCTGTTCTTCGATGATTATCCCTATCCAGTGACATGCATTACGAGCCATTGCTCAACCTTGCCTCCAACCATTGAGACTGTCACTCAGACACCAAACGATAGGTGGAGGCAACAACTGTATAGGGTACAACCGAATAGGCCACAACCGACTAGGCCACAACCGAATAGGCCACAACTACATGTACCTATCCAAGATGTCAGATAGACCCATGTGCAGAGTATATGCAGAGTAGCATGGTTCTTAAGAATAAGACAAAACCACTCCCTCCTAAATACATGTACATCATGTAACTTCTCTAATCCAATTATGGCATCCATGCCAAGTTGGCCAGTGTGTTGGTAAGGTAATTACTGGTAGAGTAAGGCACATTGCCCCCTGCTGCCTGGATTAATATCGTCTTGCATTATGGGTCTGGCATCCAGGCTAATGGCTTTCTTACGGTTTACAAATACATGACTTACTCATAACCAAGTTGAAATCCCTGAACGTTTCTAATCCTGCCGACCACCCTAAAGTCTGCAAACGCCCCCTTAACTTCTAGTAATTCCCAACCAAACTTCTATCCTGCAAACATCACGGTTCACATTGAAATCAAAAGTACAAATGTAGCTTTAAAGTTTAAGACTGCCACATTACAAAATGTACATGGTTGTTTAAAGGGCGCTTCCAAATCCCCATTCCGTAATTTTCCATGAAAGCCATGATAGCTAAGTTTAGTATACGTAATGATTGTTAATTCTATTTTATACTCATTTGACTTAACTTGTACATGTAGATTATGGATTTATTAAGGTTGACATTGTTTTCTTTATAATGGATTACTGAGTACTTCTTATATACATGAAGAAATCAAAGTTGATTTCATCAACCAGTGCCTTTAAAATACATGTGCCAATGTTTACATCACAATCGAAACATTCATATACAAAATGTATATTCCTGAATTTTATGCTTGTACATCTACAGTGTGCAAGGCTACATTGTTCCTATCATTTCAGTGAGTGTAAAGACAAGGACCTACAAGCTCCTAGATTTTGTAATTGCTGTATCAAGCAAGCTCCAGACATACATGTACAATTCCTATTACCCGGTACCCATACAACTAGATTAGCAGTATGTGTTTGGTATTTAGTTGTTACTAACTCATACAGGGTTGTTGCTTGCTGTTGTGTACATAATATCTATATACTATCACATATATTTTATATACTATCACAAATAATGTTCATCAATAATAAATAAAAGATAAATCAAGAGGAACTTGAGTGAGCTTCATGGTCCAATACATGTATATTGTAAAATGTACTTTAAGTTGTCAGGATGGCTGACAGAGAAGTCAAAGAAGGAGGGCCAACTCGTACACAATATTGAGGTGACAAAAAGAGCAATGTGGCTTAAAATTTCACAAGTCACCAAGTTTCAATGGTGCTACAATATCATAAGAAAAACATGTCAGTAAAACTTACCAAATCCCCCAGCTGAATACTGTAGGAAGTTGTCCAGCTCACACGAGCACAGAGTCCAGCCATTGAAGTTGTACTCCCAACGCACAACAGGGGGACCTGAGAAGACAATGTGTATCTGTCATTGTCAGCCAATCTATACTACAGGTGAACACAGGGTCTCCTTGGGATAGTTTTTTAAAACTATTTCTTAGGCAGTAAATGAAAACTCTAGAATCCCAATGTTTGTATTTCAATAGAAAACCTGCTTTAAATACTCCATGGAATTACCTTGTGTGTTGATGATTTCCCCTTGAGTGCCAGCTGGGATGACAAGACCTGCACCTGTGTAAAAATGTACAAAATGGGACAATGCTGCAAATACAAGTAATTACATGTAGCAAACACACAACACACAGATGTGCACACACAGACACACACACACACAGTGACACACAAACACATACAAAAATATCCTGTCTACTCACTTGTCCTGTAGAGACCTTTATGCCTCAGTAGTGTCCAGATTGTACCACTGGCAGACCCTTGGATATCACCTGGTTTATTCTCCTCTAACAACTCAGTATAGCCTGGCAGACAGCTCATGAACTCATATACCTGTAAAGAAAGCAAAGACACATTATAAAGTATTGAGTAAAGCTACTGGATGAAACAGTGTGAACGGTATCACTAAAGGTATCCTAAGCCTTCTCTTGGTACCTTACCAGTGTACTTGTACTATCCAAAATTTGTTAATACATTAAGAAGATCATACTGCAAATTTAATTGTTTAAGTTGAAGAATTCTCAGTCTGTTTCCCAGTAAAAAGTGTGCCCAAGTGTTTCCACTGTACTGACCCTGTCTGTAGTTTCCCTATCAACTGCCAGGGCTGTCAGAAGTTTCAATAGTGGGGAGAACTCCAGGGGAAACCTGCTACAGGCAGACTGAAGCAGTACACCCAGCCCTGATGTCTGGTCCTGTACAAATAAACAAACACAAAACAATCATAGTCAAACCTGTACTAGTGACCACTCAACATAAGGACCACCTGAACGTTGTGGCCACATAAGGATGATCCCTTAGATTGTGTTTTTCCCATTCAGCCAAGCATGAAGAATCCTGTCTACAGACATGCATGACTGTATAAGACATGATCATCCATTTGACAAAACTATATAGCTACCAGTAGCTCCTCTACCTAATAAAAATGGGATACCGGGGGATGTCAATGGGAGTATCTCCTTTGTGGCATCTGCTATAAAAATACAGCAAGACTATCCATGGTCTAAATGTCATCCCCCAATTATGACAAAAATGTAATTCTACTCAGAATACTGTATGATTCTGCCCCGGTATTTAGTTATAATCCAAGGCACATGACAAACTTACAGACTCCCAGAAGAGTCTACAGAGCTGTTTCTGCTCCAGGACGGGGGTAACCACGGAGATGAGGTCATGGATCCCACCCAGAGTGTCCTCGTGGAACATGGACAGCACGGTGGACAGCAGGCCTCGTACAATCAGCCTCGCCACGCCAGCTAACACCTGCAGAAGTGTCAATCAACCAATCTATCAACCAATCAATCAGTCAGTCAATCAATGACCAATTACAACAGTCAGGAGAAATTTGCTTGTCATATTAGTCAAAATGTGATAAAAGTAACTAAGTTGTGCAGGTAGAAAATGGCAGCTGACATTCTGTTTTCAATTCATGTACATGTACATGTGTATGTGTATGTGTCCTACCAAGTATGCTTTTTTATACATGGAAGAATCTGTGCTTGAGATCTACCTTTATCTTTATCCATGTTTAAGTACATGTACATAAGAATGTTGCATATACATGTACATGTGAATAACTTCATCTGATCTTACACACTTACTGTTTGCCCAGAAAATGGTTCAGTATTCAGCAGACCAGCCAGATATTGGAAGACTCCAATATTCAGGGCTGCTGAACCCAGCTTCCTGGTGGTAGGACTGGTGTCGTCTGGTAGGGCCACAAACCGTAGTGCCGCCCACCCTAACAGAACCGGTGCGTGGTGGGGGTTGTCCCCCCAACCAGTAATGAGACGGTCCAAAGCCTAAAGGAATGAAGCATTCAAAACAATTACAAATGTACACGTTATACACAAACAATGTACATATACTAGCAATGAAATTAAATACCTGATAGTGCTATCATTCACATTGGTTTCTTACTGAAAGTCTGGCAAGTCTTTTTAGACATGATTTGAAATCTCATCTCACATACATAATATACATAATACAAAAGGTATTTCAATGATCATATTGGCAGTCCACTCTAACATGAAAGCCCTAGCTATATCATATCTTCATTTTTCTTGATAATTTGCTTTGTAGAGAAGAGTCTAAGTTGCTTCTATACCCTGAATGTGTCCTGGTCCTGAGGAATGGGATGATGTGGTACTGCAGAGGCAGGTGTCTCCTGTAGATACTCCAGGTCCAGTCCTTCTATCAGAATTAATGAACTCAGGAAACTACAAAAAATAGCAAGGTAAAAATGACAATCAAAGCCAGTCATGTGTATGACACAATACAGAATCTAGTCTAGTTGAATCATATTTTTTATACATGTCCAAATGTTAAATGCGTCATGAGCACACATCTATCTTGCATGCTTGTTGAAAAACTTTCTAAATTATATGCTGTCATATGCAAGTAGATATTGCCTCTGTCAGTTATTTTCACTTACCCTAGTCTTGTGACAAAGACTTCTGCTCCTGGACTGAAGTGGTGTTTGTTGGTCTGTCTGCAGCCAAACCCTTGGGACTGTAGGGACATAGTCAATAACCAATCAGCAATGACTTGTTTTGGAACAAAACAGTCATCAAAGAACAATACATGAATACATGTATCATTAGACTTATGATTTCTTGCACTTACCTTAAACAGTCTAGCAAACTCCAGCAGTCTGGTCGGATGCATCTCATACTCTTTGTAGTACAGGAACACTATTTCCAGTAGTTCACACTGTAAACATTGAAACATACATGAGGACAAAAAGGTCTCCATGTACATGATATAGAAAGATAGAACCAACATTACATACATGTTAGCATTGTTAACCATTTTATGCAGTTTAATTATTATGATAACATACTGTAATGAAAATCTTAAATGGTTTGCTTTAAAGATGTACAAAAACTGGAAGAATTTGCATCTACATCCCAAAACCCACCTGTTCTCTTAGACATTGCAGTGCCCACTTGGCAACTTGCTTTTCATCCTGAAAAAAAGAAGATAAAAACACCACTTACATTAGACAGACATCTGAAACCTTGAATCAACTGGAAGTATCTTTACTTCATAATGGTGACATTTGTTTTACTAGTGCAAACAGAACAGCTTTGCACAGTTTTAAAATTCCGTGTTTTAGACAGTCTATATGGCTAAACATGGCCAAATATGAACTCAGTCTAATACATCTTCCAAAAGTTAAAGGGGAGACAAGACGACTCCAATTACACCAAAGGAGAGCCTAATTTAAAAATCAGTAAAGTAACAGTGTGAATACCATTGTATTTCCATGAGTCTCAGCTGATGGTGCTTCTCTGGAAAATACCTTTTTGTACTGTTCTATAACCTGTCATGGGAATAAAAAGGAATTCAAAATCTACAAAGATTTAAGGTACACAGAATCTACTCTCCAAGCAGAGGTTGTGGGGGAATGATCATTACCTTTTTATATATGGCCGTTTTTTGTTTTGTTTTGTTTTTTGTCGCTACCCCCACCCGTCTGTGTCCGCGGACCTTCTCTGGCTAATGGATACTGTCTGGCCAATTTGATACCGATCTTTTTGCCACAGATAGGGATCTGCTTGGAGATAACACAGAATCTTTCCAGAATAAGATTATTCTCACTTCAAAGATTAGCAACAGTTCCATACCTTGTTGATAAGTTGGTCCCCAAACATTTGAAGACAGTCGTCATACTTCTCCTGCAGAAAGATTAGTGACCAACATTACATGATGATAATTATCGTTTTTCAATAACTTTGTACAACTTTGTAGAAATCAATAAATTACATCCCATACAATTCTATTTTTCAGTACAATAGATGAGAATGGATTTCAAAGAAGAAGAAGAAATTTGACCATCTGATACTAGTATATCATCAACATATATGAAGATCTGGTACCTTATATGGGTGCTTGTCATCTGTACTGTAACTCAGCAGGTGTTTGATACTCTGCAGAATGTAGATCCTGTCTTCATAGTAGATGTCGGCCAGCCTACCAAGAAGGGTCTGTGCATAACGCTCATCTGACAACTTAGTCTGCAACAGGAAAAACAGCAAATGGCAAATCAAGTTCGCAATTGTATTGGTTACATATGCCACTACACAAAAAGTATGGTAAAGTGTACAAATAGATAACTTTTTACTTTGCAAGTTTGATGGGCCACCTAGGACAAAGAAAAAGTATAAACACAATGTTGAACATTGATTGCAGCAGAAAGTACCCAAAAAAGATAACCTTCATACCTCCCACTCATCCAATGATTCCCTGAAGTCCTGGGCCAGGTACAGCTCTATCAATGAGTTGGTCTGCAGCTCATCGAGGCCCTGAGAAGTGGAAATGGTCAATATGAAATGCTAATACCACCTTATGTTTTGAAATGGTTTATCGATAAGCCATTAATTTAAATCAACATCTCAACAAAATCTGCACTGCTGTAAGAGACAAATTGTCTTGTTCCATTATCTTAGTGAAAAAAAATCAAAGTTAGGAACAAAACCAACAACGAGTGATCTTGACTGAAAAGTACCTACCAAAAATTTGCTGGTTCTGATGGTTAAGTCTTTTACTTCCTTTTTCACATCCTTCTTCTCTTTCAAGGACTTAGCTGAAGCATCACTGCAGTTGCATTTGATAAGACATTGGTAATTAGTTTCCTTCATGCATCCAACATTTCTGACTGAGACAATTTACATGTAACAAATAAAAAGAAGATATTCTATGAACACCACTCTTTGTGATGTCACAATAGGGCTATTCATGCCATCCATTCTTACCTGGGAGGTTTGTAAAAGAGAAGTCCATTCAGCAGTCTCAGTTTGTTTTTCTGCAGCTCAGCCCCTATCTGGTCCTATTGGGAAGGTAATTGGGTATTTATCACTTCTTAAAGATGCCTCATTTGCATTTGAAAGGCATTGACACTTTCTATAAGATGTTCTGCTTGGTTCTGCTCCAATCTTGGGTTGTATTTCAGTTGAAAGTTGCTGTTTTTCTTATACATTTCACCAGTTCTATGTACTACGTAGATATATATGAACAAAGCTATACAGTAATGCACTGTCAAGTGTCAACTGAAAGGGTTACAAGAAACTAAGATAGATAGACTGAACACAAGAAGTGAAAGGTACAAATTTATTATGTTTGTGACATACATTCTGATCAGATTTTTCAGGGGATCCTAATACTTTTCTTCTTTATGATCTTATCTATTGTTACATCGACAAATGCATTTGTCACTATAAACAAGGTCGACCTCCTTGCTATAAACCATAGTGCGTGTATCATCTACTTCATACCTGGCTGCGTAGGAAAGACTGTCCAGTGATGATCTGCCAAAGTTCACGGCCAGACCTGAGGACAAGAGAAGGACCTTAGGCTTAGGGCAAGAGTTAGCAGTGCCCAACATACACCCAACATACCAAGAATTTTTCCATAACCTTCCGAGTTAATCTTCATGTATCACAATTGTTAGATATAAAACATTTTAATCATGATCTCACTTGTCAGCTCGAAACCAAATCTGCCCGAACACGTGAACTCGGTGGTTTGATTAAAATTACTCGGTATAGAAGCTATCCACAAACTCTAAACTTACACACCGACTTAATAACGTATATTTCTACCAAATCTGACCAACCTCACAGCTAAAAGATATCTTTTAGCTTCTAAATCAACGGAAAAACGCTTGATTTTACCAACTCACCCGACTAAGGCCGCCATTTTGAGTTTACCGCTATGGACTATTCTAAATACGAATGTAGGGAGAGGATGTTTATGTTTTAACTATTTACACACAATAAAAATCACACAATTTAATAAATGTATAAAGGAGAGAATTTAAATCTAGTCACTTTCTATATCTATATAAATTGTTATCAACTCAAGCACTAATCAACAAATTCTAATTTTTGAAATAAATACTGTTCAACCTAGATTTTAGAATGGACTGTGCCATTAATGGCATCCCTCAGAATGGCTTCACCTCTGACCTGAAGCTGGTATGGCGGCGGGAATGTGAGTATGGGAGCAGAGATTTAAATTTTCACGATAAATATAGGTTTCCATGCAATACTCTTCCACAGGTTCCGTAGAAAGTTTTATTTTCTATCTATTAGGGGGTATACGGACCTCGGGATGGTCCCAAATGCGGATGTAAGAGTTGTATCCGTTGTTGTTGTCCGCCCCCCACCCTTCCCGGGCGGTGTTCTGCATGCTTGATCAACTCTCAAGCCCATGGCGGCCCAGCCTACAGCGTGTGTTTTGTTTTTATGTCCTGTTTACCTCCTAATTTGGACCATACGTACATGAGAATTGGAACGGTCACTGTTACGAAAATGTTGATGGAAAATGTGGTGATCAGTCTTGTCAACTTATGGGCGTGTTTGTTTGTTATTTGTTTGTTTGTTTGTTTACTTGGCATCCGTATGGATTACATGTTATGGTTATACTTTGCAGAACACAACTTTGGGCCGCATTTTACATTTGCAGAAGAGTGTTTTACAGTTGCTGAGATAATTTTCTTGCCAATAACTTTAAAAACCATCACTGATTTAAAGTCCCTACCACCATTATCAAATGCAACCAAGTCGTCAACACTTTTGCATGTTTTAAGAAGTTGAACCATATGTACAAATCATATCATTTCTGATACAACATTAACATTTTCCTACAGCAGAAAAACATGTCGACAAACATAATTTGATTTCTTTGATTCTACTAGATTTACTTCAATGGCTAAAACGATGATGAAAACAAATATGGATTCCACAGACTTTTGGGGGAAAACACACCTGTCACAGGATATAGTCTTACTAATAGTCTTTTTAGATTATCAAGCTGTTGGGATTATGAATACAATCAGTACAAATATCAATGATACATGAATGATATGCAGCATGCTCAAAATACATATTCTGGAATCTATAGTCTACAGTTTGTATTAAAGCTGGGATCTAATATTCTAATAAAACTGCACTACAGTGTTGTTTGGAAGAATTCATAAGTAATGGCCTGAATTAAATTTTCTGCAGATATTATGAAGTACAATCTTTGTGGTTGTTTTAATCTGGATACATGTTATTTTAGGTTTGGGTAAGACATTTGAGAACACGTGAAAAAGGGGGAAGTAGAGACACTATTGATAATCATAACATCCTCTTATTTGTGCCATATGTTGGCAACATATACTTGTGCCAAACTAAATTAAGAGCTACAGTTTTCTATTACATATAATGTTTTTTACTACTTTAAAGATGCATGTAAAGACTGATTTCCTTGTATTTCTTTTATTCCAGAATTTTGACATTTTTCCTCAAGTTTAAGTTCCATGTGTCTACCAAGAGCTACCAAATATAGAGCATGAGGCCCAAATCAACCCACAGCCCCAACAAGGCAGGGACTCGGGGCAGCAAGAACTCTCCTGCCAAGGGCAACACTTCCCGAGGGACGGATCCTGCGATCGCGTACGGTTAGCGGTGAGGTTAGCCCCGGCTCCTCTAACAATGGCTCGCCGCGGTTACGAAGGACGTCCACGGCCTCATCCGCAAGCGTGGACGAGCAGAGCACGAGACAATCAACTGTGCGCCAAACTGCTGCTAATAGCAAGAACTCCAGCCCGAAATCCAGGACGAGTCCAAGAACGAGAAACGAGAGTGGGAAGGCTGCTCAGTCGCCAAAATGTACTCGGACTAGAGAGGAGGTGTCTCCGGTCCAGGCGTCCTCACCAAACCCAAAACGTGTCAGAAGAAACTTGAACGAAAGCTTCGACGCAGACTCTAAAACAGAGACCACAAAGCAGGAAGCTAAGAATAGTGTCGATGGGAAGGTAGAGAATGGTATGAATGGTTCCTCAGGTTCTGTCAAACCTACAGACTCCAGCGAATCATCAGCAGGCACCTGCAGCAGCTGCGGGAAAACACCTGTATGCGGAAACCACATAGCCTGTAGTACCAAAAATACTGAGGATGAATCCATACAAGCTTCTGTATCATCAGAACAGACAAAACACTTGTGTAAATGTAGAACACAGACTAGCTCAGGCACTAGCCAATGCAAACACAAGGACACATCATCAGGCAGCTCAGAACTCAACTCATCATTGAGAAACAATGAACATGGAGTAGTAGTAGTAACACAGGACCAAGAGAAGCTTCTTGCCTCGGGAGGCGAGAGTAAGTCTAAAGAAGAGGAAGGAGTGGACGATTCTTTTCCCACTGTTGACTATAGGAAATTGGACAATGAGGACTATTCACAACCATTCTACTTTGAGTCAGACCATGTAGCTCTTAAAGACAACAAAGAGTAAGTAGTTTGTGCCTTCCAGTCATCTTGAATAGTTTGGCACAGCCTTTCCATTGAAACTGTGGTAAGGTTTCGATGCATATGCATGTCAAGTAGTATCAGGTAATGGGGGAGGGGGGCACTAATCGTTGTTACATGCACAAGGTAATAAACCTAATGACTAATAGGTTAACAATTAGGTTATTGTCACTTACGAAAACCCCATTGATATTTTTTTCAAGCTAGAGCAGAGTATTCATAGTCCACATAGATTTCTTTTCAAAAATGACATGCATATGAAACCAGGAAGTCAGCAGGTAACATGTGTTGCAGTACTTCCTGTTCCTGCAAGGGGTCTCTTCTACATAAGCATTGTGTACTTCTGTGCTTCCAGGTACCACCTCATGTTGAAGACACTTGTCATGTTGGAGGCACAACGTTCCCAGGCAGTGCAGGATATTGACAGACTGGCTGTGAAGGAGGAGGAGGCCATGAAAGATCCTGTTGACTTTGTTGAGAAACTTCAGTGCAATGTAAGCATTGGGTCCCTTATAACACAATCTTTTTCCAACACACAGAGTAATACATATTAAAACCCGACCTGTTGAAAGAAGAAAGAAAGGCAAATTAGCTCCACAAGAGACCAGTTTCTGTCTTCCAAAGCAAAGTTCAGTACACATGTAAACTAATAAAAGGATTATTTTTATCACAGATTTTGCAAGGAGTTTTAATGTGCTTTTGTTTCATGACAGTGCTAAGTTGTATTGTGTATTGTGTTTTTCCAGGCTGTTTCTTTGCCCAGGCCCCAGAATGTCTTGAACCTGCCATCGATCCAGTGGGAGAACTATGCAGGCTGGGTGGGGAAGGTGGACCCCAGTCTCTTCATGCCAGCCAAGAGACATCTTACACGCACCAAGAGGCAGCCTGAAGGTGGGTAGCACAGAGGGGCGGTTGGTTACTTATTCAATGGAATCTACAGTATTACAGGTACACCTGTTAGTGCCATGGACTGGTTTTGAACAATCTTATCAGAGTGAATGAGTCAGTCAGTGAGAGTAATGTCCAAGTACCTTTGCCTGTCTTTTCACTTTTTCCTTGTCTTCAACTCTTATGATCTCTTATGTTCATGCACTTTTCTCAGATCACCTCACCAATCATCTGAAGGCAATGAAACCTCTAGATCTACAATCTGGGATATTCGAAAATTGTCCTATGTTCTACACACTGTCACATACACTAGTATGTAATTACAAGTGGAAAACCCAGTTTTCCTTGTAATCTATTGGCTTTGTTGTTACTACTACTACATGTGATGTCATTTAAACTCTAGCGACCATCACGTCATCAGACAGTGCGTCTAACTACGGGGAGGGCAGCTCCCAGCAGGGCACCAGTCGAGCGGAGGACGGACCACAGATCGTCAGGGGCCGGCTCAGGGGGCCATCTAAACCTGCCACCTTCAACCAGCTGTGGACCACAGAGGAACAGGTACAGCTACTGGAGTTAGAGAGTATCAAAATATCAGTGTTACTGATGAAAGGTACTAGTAGTGGATGCCATCTAAAATATCTGACCATTTTCAAAATCATGTTATGGAAAATGTACATGAAAGAAAATCACAGCAAAGTTTTTCTCCTCTTTCCACAAAAAAATTACAGAAAACTACACCAACCCGATTCCAAAGAGTTGTTTTTGCAGTAGGCTTTTCATAAAAGCCACCTAACAGGTCCTCTAGAAATTGTACATAGTTCTTCAGGTGAGCAGAATTTACAATGGCTGTTTGTTCCTTTGCCAGAGGAAGCTGGAGTACCTGCTGGAGGTGTTCCCACCTGAGGAGATCGAGGCTCGCAGGTGGCAGAAGATCGCAGAGGCCCTGGGGAACAGGACGGCAAAACAGGTGGGAAAAATAAACAAATAACTCAAGCACAACAAAACAGCCAAACATGGGAGACAACTCACTTGGACACCATGTCAAGATCTCTGCACTGACTAGCCCTTGGATACACGAAACAATTACCATTCATTTATTACTAGTTCATTTAGGACTGGTTGAATGTACTACCATTCATTTAGTAGTGGTTGAAAATCAAGCATGTACAGATTACTGACGTGTATGATGTGTTTTTTGTTGCAGGTTGCGAGTCGTGTACAGAAATATTTCATCAAGCTGGCCAAGGCAGGTCTCCCCATACCAGGCAGGATGCCAGCCAACAATCACACCTTCAGTAAAAAGTTACCTTTCATGGTAGGTGGCAATGTGTGGTATATACATGTACACAATCAAAACAGCTTTCCTCCTTTAGCACATATTGTAAAAGTAATCTTAGAGTCTTACAGTTTGTTTCTATTGCTAGCCTGTTTCAACAACTTATTTTGGATTTTGCAGGGGTTCATGAAGTGTTTTGCATTTCATCAGCAAAACGTATTCAACATTTTTCTGAATTTTTTTTTCACCAGAAATACCGTAGACACGACGTGTTCCGGCAGGCCCTGTGCCAGCCCTCCACCTTCATGACATCACACCTGCCTCCTGTCTACATGTCTGATAACGATGACGACAGCACCAGTCAGTCTACCAGCCAGCTGGACTGGGAACAGGAAACTGATGATGTGTCTGTAAGTTACAGATTTTTTCATGTACTAAAAGCATGACTTTCTTGTACTTGATATATGCCATACACAGTTATGTGGGGTCATGTGACATAATGGCAGAGCATTCAGCTCAGAACCAAGAGGTCCTGGGTTAAAATCCTGCCAAGTCATCAACCTTGTGCCCTTGGGAAAGGTACTTTACATGACTTTCCTCACTTCACTCAGGTGAAAATGAGTATGCCAGAATGATTGTGGGCATTAAAAGAAAACCAAACCAACCAGTTATTTTTTATTAGTTCCCACAATGTTAAAGGAAGGCTGCTTGAGCAACCTTGACAATACTGTGCATTCTGGACCATTTCAATTCTCCATATCAGTCTAATTTCACTCAAATTGTCACCTCTACATCAGATCTAGATATGCAGAGAATACTAGTATAGCCTCCCATGTGCACTATGGTACATGTCCTACAGGTGTAAAGTAAAAAAAAGTGAAATGTTAACTTTTACTGCCTTCTTGCAGGATGATGAGAGTGTGCCAGTAGAGCTGAGACAGACGGAGGACTATCGGGAACTCATGAGGCTCAAACGTCTCAAGATGGTCAAGGAACGGAGGAGGAAGCAGGTAATCTTTACAGGAATTCCTCCAGAGGATAGATAATGTTGTAGAGTTTGTTCATGAGAATGTTTGGTCATATTTGCCTTTGCTTAACATGTGGTTATTCCTTACAGGAGGAGTCCCTGGGAATTACACAGCATGTAGGATATAGGGTAAGATTTGGTCCTTCTATGGATGGCATTCCTTTAATTTTCATTGTTTAGCAACTTCATTTGTAATTCATGTCCCAGATTGCATGTCGAATAAATTCCATTGATTGACATCTGTAAGTTGAAGTGTAAGTCTAAAGTAAAAATGTTTATTTTGTTTGTATTCTATTTTTTCAATCATTGGAATGTTGTTGTGTCCCTGTTAGTGTGATCGCTGTGAGTCAGACCCCATCATGGGTGTGAGGTGGCACTGTCTGGACTGTCCAACTGACCGGGCTGTGGACTTCTGCCAGGACTGTGTGGACTGGTAAGCTCTGATCCATCCATATCAAAACTTGTTCCTCTGATTAACACACAATGTAGACAACTTTATAATCAGATACCCTATAAGACTTTTGTTGAAACTGTTAACCAACTGTTTTTTGCATTGCAGTGACCACGAGACAGAAGTGCACAAGTCCTACCACCGGTTGGAGCCCATCTCTCACATGTCTGAACACACATACATGGACATGGACTATACACGCTTCTCTGTCAAGACTGGAGACTACAACTACCTCGACCCAAACTACTTTCCCTCCACCTCCTGACCTGACCACCCCCCATTGAACAATGTACAGTTCCACAATCCCAGATATCATTGGTGGTGATAGCTGCACTTTGGGATGTTACATTTTATGACAGGGCTGGCAGGATTCCTCTCTTGCTGTTCAGATTCACCCAGCTACCTTATCTATTTCCTGTATAAACTACTCACAATGTAGAACTTTGTATCGCTGTAACACCACGGCAAGGTGGAAGACTTTGCATATAGTTCCCCTTCATGTTAGCTTTCCAACTTGTTCTGGTGTCTAAGTTAGCAGCAGGTAACCTATCAACTTATGCCAACTTGTCGGGGACTCTATCAACAGTTTCACTGTGGAATTATGGATCATTTTCTCTATCCAACATCTATATTTGAAAAGAATGTATCTAACCAACACAAAATGTAGTATATATAAGATAGTGGTGCCATTTCACATCATTTTTACTGCTTTTTTTCTGAATTATGTTCCTCCAAAGTGAATACTGTAGTGCAATTAATGCTGTGTACTTGTATTAGCTGTCTCCTGATTATCTGTGTTGAAAAAAGAAGTACTAGTACTAGTTGCCAGTTTGCATTATTTCCTTGAAACAGGTCTGAATTTTTTTACAAAGTCTTTATAAACTTCTGGAGTATTTTGAAGGGTCATGCCCGCATAACATTAACTAGAATGATTGATTAGAAAACTCAAAGTCTGATTTATTTAAACTAAATGTTTCTTTCCAAAACATATATATTTGACAAGTGTGAGTTAAGTGTTGTGTTGCTTCATATGATACATTTGTATGTGTCACTTGTTTTTCCTCTGTTTGTGGTAGAATCTCTATGTCAATTCCTATTGATTGAACCAAAAACACAAACTAGAAGAATCAGGCATAGGCCAACTATTTCCTCAGATGTATTGTATTTAATAATTGCTGTTGGTCATTTCATGAAGTTGACTTGTGATAATTCCTTTTGTATAAGAAAGTGCAGGTGTTCCAAATGTCTATGCTATGGTAATGTGATATCTGTCCAGCATTGAAAATTCCATTCTGTCCTTCCTCTATCCTATAACCTTCTTTTGGCTGTATTGTCATAGGAAAAGCAAGTTTGGATATTTTGTCATTTATCTGATATACTGTATGGCTATACATTGTATGTCTTTGTTTCATGATAATGTTTCTTGATATTTTCACTAACTTTCTAGGCCTTGGATAGACAGTATCACCAATAAAATGAATGTAGAGCAAACAAAAAGTGGCCAGAAAACCTATGATATTAGAGGGATAAGATTATCTGGTTTTGCCGTGTGTTGTGTTTTATTTTTATCATTAAGTAGCTGTACTGTATAATTGGCACAGGAAGTCTCCAGTATATGGAGATCTAATAGCAAGATACATTTTCATCTTCCATTTTCCTGTCACAAATATAGAACCTCTATTTGTGTTAATTCTGGGAAAATGACAACCGTTTTGACCTAGATATATTGATTTTCATCATTTCATTGATTTTTGGAAAAATTCCAGAACCAAACTATTAAAGTTATAGGAAGTTATCAGTATAAAAACTTGAGTATCGTACACCAAGAACACATGTAACTGTGAGTGTGAGAACAGGTTGCATTGCCTGAAGTGACCAACCCCCTCCTAATAATGGAATAATCCAACTCCTTCATGTCACGTGACATGTGGCCAATGACATGCGAGAAGGTAATTAATTATTCATAAAGTGTCAATGTAGGTGAGGTAAAGAGAACCTAAAAATGGCGTCCGCCGAGGGCTTTTGCCTGGGTGATGACGCCGCTTTGGCAGTTTCGTCCTGTCTTACAGACACAACAGCCCCATCTGCATACGAGGGTAAGAACAAAGAAGTCATCGGCATGATTTTAGGGTGTCATTCTCGTCCAGCTTTTCTAGATCACGCCGAAATATGTGCTGCCTCGTGGTATGGAAATGTATTTTCTCCTTTCATTTTGGCTTTCACTTATGCGAATTCTCCCTTGCGCTCATGAGTGTGTGGGTGGATGGCGGGAGACTCAACTTTGCCGTGCTTTCGGTGTCATTTTAGAATTGTATATAAAATACTACAATTGATTTAGACGTCATAACAGTTCTAAACGTACTTGGTGACGAACTGTTGATGCTAAAATATTTGAGTTCAAGTCGCGGATATGCATATCCCAAGCTGCCGCCTCTTCTGTTATAAAATCACTTGCAGACAACACCAAATCTGCTAGGGGGCGCTGAAAGACCACTTGATGTGAAACCTGGGTTGTAGCAAAAAAAGTCGCATTTTCTCTGGAAAGGAATAAAACTTTCAACCCTGTTTTTAACAGAAACTTACAGTTAAAAGATAGACATATTTCCAAACTTTTCCAATGTTTAAACATTAAAACTTGATATGTTTGCAAGTGTTAGATTAAGATTTTCCATAACCAAATAAACAGAATGACACAACAAATTCGTTGTTGCAGATGATCCGCTGAAGAAAGCGATGACAGAAGCACACGTCTTTGGCAGCAGTGAGGATGGTTCTGAGTATGATATCTCCAACAGTGACGGCAACCATACAGGAGAGGTCTGTAGTCCTACCTGTGATAAAATGTAAACCATGCTGTATGCTTTGGTTTTACTTTTAGAATTTGTTAAAATTTTTTCATCCCAACTCAACAGTACTCTGTAGAGTCCCGAATAATGAGATAGAATTGGAAAATTAACTTAATATAAAACTGAAGTTCCAGTGAAGAACTGAATGTGGTGTGTTACACGGAAGGGCGGTTATACCGGTTATACTGATACAGATACAGAAATGTCTCTGCTATAATCTGTTGTGTTTTCCCCTCTAGGATGCAGACCAGGGAAGTGGGAACTTGTATGATGAGAATGTCACAGGACTGGCAGGCCATGCTAACCAAGTATGTCTGGCTGCTGCATTTGTTTCTAATCTTAGTGCCACCAAGTACAGCTGGGTCATCGTCACTAGATAGCTTTAAACATTAGTAAACAGATGAGCAATTTAAAAGATTAGGTGTGACAAGTCGTTTGGTGTAATATAACCAGCTGCGGCTATGCTGAGTGCCTGTGAAGATGGTGTGTTATGCCAAAGGGTGGTTTTAACAGATAGTTACAGATGCAGTTATGGAACTAAAGGGCAAAACTATTTTCTTTGACTCCTATTTGAAGTTGAAGGTACATAAAATGTAGTTGATCATGTCATAATTTTCGTGTTAAAGTGAGAATCCATCCCTGTTCCTTTCCCAGGGAGACCTGTTCCTGTCCATGGCGCAGGCAGACTATGTGGACGACCACGTGATCCGGAAGAGCGCGAGAAAGCGGAAACCCCGACCGCTGTCCCCCGATAACGATCTTCTCATGTCAAAGAAGCGGAAGAGACCACGGAAGAATCCAAATCCCGGCAAATCTGCGGGGAGGAGAGGCAGTTTTGATACTGAGGCAGGTGTGTGGACAAAAAGGATTCATTTTGATGCATTTGTAACAACTCAAAAAAGTTACAACTTACACATTTTGATAAATGGTTTCCCCACAGTTATACATTGTAGGGTGTCAAAATGTACCCATTTTTTGTAATCTGTAGTATCAGCACTTCAGTGCACCTTTTCTTACAAGATCAGACTGTTTTAACTCTAGCTAGGCTACATTTCATTTTGTCAATTTGTATCTGTTTCGTAAGGCATATTAGCACATTAGATTTTGTCTAAACATAAAGGATCCATTCATAATTCAGCACATATGACTACGAGATATTTGTTGGTAATCTCTACAATAATCAACAAACTCTGTTGTTTTTTTTTTTTAGAATCGTTTTGTTGTGACCTGTGCAAGTCTCCGTACGTGACCAACCCAACGCGCAGAGGGAACAAACCCAAGCTGACCAACGCCAACCCCAGCCCCCGACACAAGATAGACCCCATCACTGGCAGGATGCTCACACTGTGTAACGCCTGTGGTAAGGGTCATCCCTACAAACAAATCAATTGAGAAAACACTACTTCTGAAAATCAGTATGGTGTTTCTTTCTTAGGTATATTTATCATGATATAAGCTAACAATACATATCTGTGGTAAGAGTCATCCCATTCACACACACATAATGACATATCCTTTACAAAAAACATTATTTACCTCAGAATATACGACTTCAGTCTGTGTCTTCATGATGTTTCCTTCCTAAGTATATTTGTGTGATGTAAGCTAGCATAAACTCGTATTATCTTGAATTTCTTTACTTTGCAAACATAAGTCTGAAAAGAAGTTACCCTGTTGAATGACTTTACTTTATATCCCTTTCTTTATTAACAGTTGCCTCAGTTCAGTACTGAAATGATATATTAAACTCATATTTACATATTTAAGGCAGAATTGATGAAAGTTTGAATTTTTCTTCAGGTTTAGCTTTCAATCGTCCTAAGAGACCGAGGAAAGAACGGCCATTACCCAACGAGGTAGAGAAGGCTAAGTACCTACAGGAGGCGCAGCAGTTTGCCTTGTCTCTGGCAGAGGGCCTCAGTGATCCAGAAGGTAACACTCAGTAATGTAGTACACACTGTATTCATTAACACCTTTCAGACAAACTACTGACTGGCAAGTCACAGAAAAAGTCAGCAAGATGAGTGTTACGGTAAAGTTTATGATGACGTAATTCTGTGGTATGCTAGTGTGGTATATTTTAAAGGCATGCATATTTTTTCATTATTTTTTCTCTGGTTACCCCAAAAGCCATGAAGATAAAACCAGCATGAACATTTCCAGATGTAAGCACATCGGCGGAACATACTGCACCTGCGTGAAACCCGTAATGTATTGCATAGCACTTTAACAGAATGTCTCATATAAGGTCGTATTTGCGTGTATAAGGATAACATCCTGTCTGCAGTTTCCAAATGTTATGTCGGAAAAGATATCCTCTGCAGCAGGCAAAATACTGATGCAACAGTGACCAAACATCCAACGAAAATTGTGAAAAATCAGGGTTTTGCACAGGCCCAGTACATTCTGCCGACGTGCTCCACGTGTACAGTACTAGTGTTGTTAATATATCCTTGAATGTTCTTGTATTTCCAGCGGAGAGGTTGTTCTGCCCTCACTTCAAGCTGAAGGCGTGCGGCTGTATGCAGAACTTCATCATTGGGGAGGGAAACATGGAGGAGTCCAGGAGGAGAGCCAATCAGCTGCTGCGGATGTTAAAGGAGGCCAAACAGCTGAGTCAGCTGAAATGTTACGAGGTCGTTGGTGACCCCACCAACCCCAGCGGGCAGCCTAGATCCAAAAGGTATGTGAAGAAATGTCTTCTTCATCTGTTTTATAGTAGATTTTAATTCATTTGTTCGTTTTCTTCTTTTACGTCTGTACTTTTTGTGGGTCAGCCGTTACCAGCTTTGTCAGCCTGTGCTGAGCCTTGTAATGATCAGTTTCATTGTCAAAAATTAAAAATACAAATGATTTGTAATTCAGAAATACATTACACATCCACTGAAAATGTGAGTCAAATTTTGAAATTATACTAAGATGAAAGTTTCTGTTGAAAACTTTACAGAGCGAGGAACATAGGGCTGGGGAATGGTCAGAGGAAGTCGCAGGCCTTCGAGGACTTTGTGTTGAAGAACCGTAAGATCCTGAGAGAACAGATAAAGCTGTGTGAGCGTGCCACGCAGAAGGTTCTCTGTTACTCCAACAACTTCCTGCACAAGAAGCTGAAAACGGATCCACAGGTAAAGTTGGGAGTGTCTGATTTGAAACCATAATTGTACATGTACCTGTGTTGTTTGAAAGAAAAAAATACGTCAAATTGTCACTTGTTGTCGCAACTTGAGTTGTAAAAAGTTGTGATCTGAAATTGGAATTCTTCTGTCCATCCAAAACTACTTGTTTGATATCTGTGCCTTTATGCTGTCAAAAGTACATAGTAATGGCCATGATATACATGTAGTATAGAACTGATTATATCTATGAATATATTTTTAAAGTTTCTACTTTCAGCTTGAAATATTTTATCAACTAGAAAATTCAGGGGTGCAAAGTAACATGTTTCACTGAAGTTATCTTTTGTTCAGGTATTACAATTTCTGACATGAGGTGTTGTTTTTCCGTATTTGCTGCAGAAAGGAGTGCGTAAAGAGAGACAAAAGGGAAAAGAAGCCCTGGGACAGCTCAGGTCCATAGAAGACCTGCCCAGGAGTCGCTGCTGTGTGGACAACTGTGTCCTGGTAAAGTTCTGGGCTTCTCGTCCAATTGTTACTTTGTTGTACATTTTTATCCCTTCTATTCTTTTGCTACTTTGTCCTGTTTAACTCTTGTGCTTTGTCATACATTTTGTCCGTTCTACTCTTTTGCTGGTGAGGTAAAAGGTTCCTTGCAGTGGCCTATCGAGAAAATCCTTAAAAGCAGTACTGAAGCATGCAGTATGATTTCTTGATCCCTATCTTGATCCTATACATATACATGTATAAGAAAGAATATCAAGACATTAGAAATTCCTGATGATTGTAACAGCCTGTTCTCATCCCATACACACACTTGTATTAGGTAGGCTTGCCTTATGGAACTCTAGTTATGTACCAGTAAATGCAATACTTTGTGCCTTGTACAATTGTTGTGCAATAAAGTTTATGTATAAAGTGATGACTTGTTTGTTTTCTCGCAGATGGCGCTCACCCATGGCCGGCTGCTCCAACAGTGGCGAGACCGCGCCAGGTCAGGCCAGATCGAGGCCAGGAGGGTCCTGGCGGAGATGTTGACTCCGTCCGGCGGAGCCCGCTCCAACTGTTACAAGTTTATCAACTGGGTGACGGGGTGTAGTCACAGCACCATTGGCAGGGTCAACGACCAGATGAAGCGTACGGGCGGGGACAGGGAGCCACCGCAACACGGGCTGAAGAAATGGTGCGGGGAGCTTGTATTTTACCTGGCCAAGTGATGTAGTTGAAATGCGTGAGCTGACTATAAAGTTTAGCTTGAATAATTGTTCCAATGTTGTCTGAAATCTGTTCAAACAAAATGTCTGAATCTGTAAAAAAAAACAAAAGTAAGACTCGTCATAGACTCCTCATTGAAGTACAAAAAAAAAGAAAATAAGTACAGAAGTGGCATCTGTGTGGTGTAGTGGTAGAGCTTCCGACTGTCAAGCAAGGTCACCCAGGTTCAAACCCCAGGGTTGGACCAAGACATGTCCGGACATGCACCCAGACATTGTGTCCTTGGGAAAAGCACTTAACACGAATTTCCCCATTTTACAGATTTTTGATATACAGGTGAGATAAAGGATTTTCTTGTTTCACTCACTACAGGTGGAAAGAGCACCCCAAGAAGAAGAAGAAGGAGGAGATGTCAGCAGTGGCCACGTCTGGGTCAGACACAGTCACCATCACCATCCCTGCCACACAGATCCCCAACAACTTCAGCCACCTCCCTCCTAATGTGAGTACAGCTGCAGTTTTGGTGTGCACTGCTAGATGGCACTGTTGCCTGTGCTCTTGAGGACTTGCTGGAACTCAGAAATGTAGACTGAGAGTAAAAGCATAGGATAGGACAAAATGAAGCATCACTTTTAGGTCTGTACAATGTAGGGACATGTAGGTGGATTTGAACCCACAATAGGTTTTGGGCCAAATTCCACACGATCTTATACATTCATTTATGTCAAATAACTGAACAAATATAAGTGGAATGAAATTGTTTTGTAATTTATGCAGGCACAAATCAACATCCAGCAACAGCAGATCCAGCACCTGCAGAGACAGCTGGCGCAGCAGCAGCTGCACATGACGCAGAGCCAGGTGCTGCAGCCGCAGTTCCTGCACCCGTCGGGACAGCTGGTGTCGCAGCCGGTGCAGCTGCAGGTGCAGGTGACGAACGTCGGCAGCCAGGTGGCACAGCAGTCGTCTGTGCTGCAGAACTCGGCTGCTGAGCAGGTGCTCATCGCAACAGACAGCCTGGGACAACAGGTGCTATTTCTCATGTATTTCTGTAGTACTTTTGAAAGTCACTAGGAGGCTCTCTATCAACTGGTAGCACTCTTTTCCTGTCTCCAGCAGTCACTTTATAAAGGTGCTAGTTGCTAGTTAGCGATCAAAGTAACCATTGAATTCTTACATCAATGAATGTCAGACAAGGCAATGAGATACTGACTGAAGAAAAGTAGTGGATGCTACTTGAGAGGTCTGGCCGTTTTCGAAATCTGTCCAGTTTCTTGAGTAACAGTTTTCTTGTGTATTGAATTCTTACTATAAGTATAAGAGTGACAGAGGATTAAAGATCTTTAACGTTCAGTTACAGAATCAGGCCATCCAGCTGCAGCAGCCCCAGCTGACCGGAACCTCGTTGCCATTGGTCAGCACCCAGCCCCAACAGAGCGCAGCGTCCGGTAACCTCCTCAACACCGCACAGATGACCAGCTACAACTTCACCCAGGCTCCCAACGTCAACATCGCAACTGTACACCAGACTACTGCTGGCACATCACAGGTGAGACTTAGATACTGTTACTGTTACCATACTGATGTGTGTGATGTCTTTTAGGAAAGCATGAACATTTGACACTCACCAGATAGTGTGTGATTGTGTGTTTTGAGTGTGTTATCTTTTCTGAATGCAATTTCTTCTCTCTTTGTTTGATGGACAATAGTACCAGTAGTACATCAATAAAGCTACAGATGCCTGCAAAGCTATTAGAGTATGTTATAGTTGTAATGAAACTGTCAACAAAAAACATCTTAAATTGTACGTAATTTTTTTCACCAGATTTTGTATTAGTAAAGTGTATGATCCAAAGCATCAAGTTTATGTGACCTCAGGAAACAAACAAAATGCTATGGATGAAACCATAAGAGCTGTGACAGTAATACACCTCCCTTTGTCCCCCCAGGTGCCGACCCAGCTGATTATCCAGACCCTGCCCACCCCCCTGCCGTCGCAGACCCTGCAGTCCCAGAACATCCTGCAGCAGCTGACTCCGCAGCAGGTGGCCCTCATCATCCAGCAGGCGCTCACTCCGCAGACGTCCACAGCTGCAGCTGGCCTGGCCATCGGATCTGTGGCACTCCCCACACAGAACACAGACTCACCATTTGAGGTTGGTCTTACAACATTAGGAGTTGCCAATTCTATTACTAGTGAGCATGTTGGCAGATCGTACTGCACCTGTGCAAAATCCGTAATGTATTGTGCATAGCACTTCAGCAGAATGTCTCATATAAGGTTAGCATCCCGTCTGTAGTTTCCAAATGTTATGTCGGAAAAGATATCCTACAAACGAAAACCGTGAAAATCGGGTTTTGCATAGGCACAATACGTTCTGCCAACATGCTTTATTAGTGTAAGGTTAAAGTTAAACTTAAAGTTTGTACTGGTCTATCTAAACAATGTAAGTTCTGTATGATTAAATACTTTGTTCTATTTATTCCAGACATCTTCTGTGGATGAAACTTTGACTGATGGGGAACAGTCAGCTGACCTGATGAGCCAATCAAATCAGCAAAGCAACTTGGATGTTTCAACTCTCAACCAATCACGGACTGGGAGTATAAACCAATCACAAGTCTCCTTGGTGCCATCCACCAGCCAATCGGCAACAAACCAACTGAATCTTTCACAGCAAGCAGATCAATCAGGGCAGCCGTCAGAAATGGTGTCTGATGCTGCCAACCAATCACAGACTGTGACAGTGGAGCAGATGTCATCACTTGCCAACCCCCAGATGCCCCAGCAGTGGTTGCTAGGCGACAAGACACAAGGACTAGTGGGGGTTGCAGCAACAGGCAATTCTGAACCCAGTGATTCTTTCTTGTCTGTGGACACTTTTCAACTTCTAACCCAAAATCAAATTGGGAATCTCAACAACATCAACTAGCCTGATTGTTAGCACATAAAAGTAGAATATGTACAAATTTGCAAATAAAAATTGATAAAGCAATATCCATTATCAAAGACTTCTGTGAAGTTGCACTGTTGCGGAAAATTAGATAACCTGATATGACCTTGTGTAACAGGTCACAAATGATCTGTCATGAAGGGTGATTACAACAATCAATGGTATCCATGGGTTGAGCTTTTTTGGTGTTTGTGCATAAGTTTAACTGTGCCTGTCACCTTATTCAATGAGTGGAACCTTGTTCCTATTAACAAGGAGAGACTCTGTGTGATGTGAATTTGAAGTTCTGTACAGCATGCCTAAGTAGGTAGTACATGTACCCAGAACCATTTCAGATCTGTCAAACTGTTACTGAATACCTGTAATGAAAACAAAGTCCATGAGTCCTAACTGCTCTGCAGTATAATTTAAAAAGCTTTCATCATAATGAACTATTATTAGCTATGATTGTTAGCTATGCTATTTATTGACTAGAGAATGTATGTATAGTATGTTAGATAAAACTGTGCAACAGAAACATGCCGCTGGCTTTGTAAATACATGTACATTGTATGTAGAATATGTACACTTCATCACAGATGAAGTTGAACTGCATTGCCATTAAAATACCAGTGTTATTTCTAAAACTATGGTTGTGCCTTGAACTCTTTGTTCATGTTAGTACCTAATCAATTTCAATAGACCTTCAGGTTTGTATTTTTCTTTCCAAAAGTCAAACCAATTTTTCTCACATCAATTTTGGTCCAGTTGACCCATCTAAATATCAAGTACATTATTAAGACGGTATTGAAACTGGAAATCATCACTCACTCACTATCCTGGTTTAGATTATACTGCTGCCGGTTTCTCTGTCCCAGGGGTGGGCAGCAGTCGGCTGTTCTGAAACTGGAAATCACGTGCAAATTTCAATTGCAGTAAGACACAGACACACAACATACTGGAATGTTGTTTTATTGGATTTCAGATTTTCAGTGTCAATTATCTATTTCAGAATCTATGTTTCTTCATCCAGACTGGTTACTATTGGCTCTGATCTCTAGTGAAAGCCACAATAACTTTTTCTCCACAGTTGTTTCTTCTAGAAGTTTTGGAATCAAGTATAATCCTTTATAAGCTTTGCACTCCCATATACGATAACTGCCGCTTCAGGTGAACAAACAAGAGTGCTCTGTGGCCAGGTTTATCAGGGTAATAGAAATGTAAAGCCAGTGAAAACTGCCCTGTTTCAAACATTTCCTGCTGGCAGAAAGTTCCTGTTGTTAAAATGAGTCTTAGTCTTGATCGCCGTCTTCCTTGGCCAGCCCACCGAACACCTCTGTAGGGACAGTCCTCCGTTCCAACTGGACCTCTGCAAAAGATTGAAAAGGGGGTCAGCCATAAAAACAAATTACTTGTGAGTACTTTGCATGAATAGCTAAGATATTTCCTGAGCTCATTTTGTAACCCTTGCTTTTAAAAAAATGAAGTGCTACTATCAATTTTGAATACTTCAACTTCTTTAAAGAGGGTTCAAAGCAGCTGCATGTGTTACACAGATGACACCAAGATTGCATGTACTTGTACGTACATGTATAGTAGATGCCAGTTTGACAGTATACACCAGGTTTTTCCCATACATGTAATTTTTCCTACCTTCTACTTCTGCCTCACTGTCTGTCCCCTCTTCCTCTGAGTCCAGGGTGATCTCATCAGGGTTGTTGGCCTTCACAGCATCACTCAGGTCCTCCTGGGTACTACCTCCCCTGCACACAACATAGGACACTCATTCAGTACCCATAGAACTACACATCATCTACACAACATAGGACACTCCTTCAGTACACAGTACCCATAGACCTTCTTCTTCTCCTTTTCGTCTTAGCAGACGCTCTGCTCAACGTCGATGGACTCGTCCGTGTGCGGCCAGCCCAGCTTTACTCCTGCAGAGTTTCCCGCAGGTTGTGCAGGTGAAAGCGGGTGTTGCAGAAGGATGGTGTCTTTTTTGCCTTCTTGTGGTCTCATTTTGGACCAGGTCATCTTCCAGTTTCTTGGCACCTTGGCGAAGTGCATACCGCCATGCAGTGCGGTTTTGTGCAAGGTGCTCCCAGTTGGCACCAATGTGCCAACCCATAGACCTACACAGTTATGATCTACACAACATACGACACTCACTCAGTACCCATAGAACTACACATGACCTACACAACATAGAACACTCCTTCAGTACCTATAGATCTACACAGTCCTCATCTAATGTCTGGTTATGGATGTGAACAACTGGGGAAGTCTCACTGTATCAAACTAAAGGATTGGAACAACAGTTGTTTCTTAAAGAAAGGACTTGATGAAACTAACTTAAAATGCACTAGGAAAGAAATAGAGGTATTGTATTCATGTTCTTTCAAATGATGCACATGCAGCACATTTGTCAGAGTTAAATTTAAACCCTGTTTTCACAACTTAACCTTCAGCCTGCCAAAGTAGCCATTTTAAGTAGCCACCAATTCTGTATTGGAAGGATGGTTAGGCAGCATGGAGAAGGTTAAAGTGATGGGCAGTAGTTGATCTGATTTGCTGACCTGACAAACAGCAGCTGTGACTTGGGTTTGGGCATGTCCTTCTCGTGTTCCGTGGTCAGTTGTTGTGCACGCTGTTCCAGCAGCTTCATGTCGTCCATCTGGCCGGGACCGAGGTCCGCCACTAAACAACAACAACAAACAACACACATCACTACCATGTACACAACAAATGTACATGTATGGTTGGTAAATGCTTGTACATATTACCTTGTTGTGAATCAAAAGGCATCCTAAGATGAATCAGTATAGACCACCATAAGTCATCACTCACTCACTATCGTCTGTTGTTCCCCATCTTCCAAGGGTTATCTTTCAAAGTATGTCACAATCATAGTCTTGCAAGAACCAAATGCACTAACCAATGATTGCTCACTGAAAAACTGTTTTGGTAACAGTTTTTCAGTGAGCTGACTGCTCTCTCCCTCTCTATCCAGACATTAAAGGAAAAACAAGAATGTTAAAATACAGAGAAAAGTAGTTGTATCCTCAGACCTGTCCCTGTGGCGCTGCCTGCAGCAGCCAGCATCTGTGCCGACATGAAGTTGACCTGGGTGTTGTACGTGGCCTGCACGCTGCGCTTGATCCGCAGCATCTCACGAATCGTGTCCTCGTTCCCGTGTCGCACCTCAAAGTCCTTCCACGTCTGCCAGAAGGACGCTGTGGTCTATGGAAAAGTAGTTGGCATAATTGAAGGAAAACATATTGTTTTTGCTCTGTTTCTTCTTATTCTCCAAACAAATAAGGTCAATGACCTGACCCAGACATCTGTCACCATGGTAAATAGTGTTGGGTTACATCATGTTGCACTTTTATAGCAGGAGTGATTTCTACTCCCATCACCATATATATATTAATGTGTTTGAGTAATAAAAAAATAAACAAACAAATAAACATGTGTCTGCTCACCCTTGGGTCACACATCTGTGAACAGTGAGCGTACACTGCTCTAGCCCGGTCAATCTCACCAAGCTTCTTCTCCAGATCTGCAAATCTTAGACACATCTCCCTGAAAAATGAATTATTGAAACTTAACATTTTGTGATACAAAATAAACCAGGCAACTGGATAAACTGTCTGAAAAGTCAGATGTTTCAGATAGCATCACAGTGACTGCAATCCTAGAGATATTTTCTGACAGGCCTACCTGGCATGTTCCTCAGGCAGCATCTCTATAGCCTTCTCATAGATCTGTCTGGTGTAGGTCACGCCAAAGATCTCGGCCGCCCGCTTGATGTAGATGTTGAACATCTCGTACTGTTCGTCCGGCTGTACGGCCTTGGTGGAGCGGTCGTACACCGCCATGGCGTGACGCTGTAGACCGTGCTCCTCTTCCAGTTTGGCATACAGCAGGTAGAAGTCTGTCCGAGTTAAAACCACAAAGGGAGTGAGCAAGCATTCTCAGGAATTCACCATAGTTTTCATAGCTTATTGACATATCTTCTATCATAGTTCAAAATTCCTATTACACTGTATCGGATTGCCAGAAAAAAAATTTAAAATGACATTTAGATAAGGGTGCTGAAATCATAGAAATTATTCGATGTTTTTTTACCTAATTTTAGCCGTATGCCTTGCACATTGAATATCTTGAACACAGCTAAAAAATCTTACAATCGCTACATGTACTTACTTTTGGCATATTTGGGAGGACAGTCTTCCAGACATTGTTCAAACAGATCCCTGGCTCTCTCCAGCTTCTTTCCACCATACCGGTCGATAAACTTGGTCAGGTACATGTTCCAGATGTCATAGACATTAGGCCACCTGAACAGTGCAATGCCTCTCTCATATGCCTGGAATAGTACAAACAGAATGTCACAATATGCGAATATAGCGAGCAGACTAGCCCCTTGCTGTAGTAATCATACAACTGTGTAACCCAAAGGCTATAGAATGTGGATAGGCACCACCCTACACCAGTGTTCTAGCCTGCATCGGTCTTTCTGTCATTTGAGTGATTTTGACCTAAGTTTGCCGCTCATAACAAGACAAAAATTAAGCCCTATCCATCATCTTTGACAAAAATTAGCATGTAAAGATATGGAAAGAGACATCAGTAAACCAAGCACTACCAGTAAAATTTGCCCCTGAAAATGCAGGAAACAACATTTTATAGGGTCAGAAGTTCAAACTTTTTCCCCCACACCTCCTCAGTATCATGCCTGTGCTCAACAAGGTGTCAAACAAAATTGAGATGACAGAAATTTCAGGCTGGCTAGAACACTGCCCTACACACTAACAACTTGACAACAAGAATGAAGTCTCCACCTTGAAAGCTTCCTCAAAGTAGTCGTGTTCCTCCAGGAACATGCCGTAGTTGATGATGATCTGAGGGTTGGCGATCCTGAGGTCGATGATGCGGTCGTACACGGCCTTGCAGGACTTGAAGGTTCCGAAGCTCTCCTCCAGGTCGGCGTACATGGACCACAGCTTCAGCGACTTGTACAGACGGTTCTGCACGGTCTCCGTCTCATCAAAGTACGCCGCTTTCCGACCCGGCATGGCGGTCGCCCTCTTCATCAGCTCAAGGGCTGCATCAAAGTTTCTGATGAAAACACAAGCAGATTTTACCCCTTGGCCTGCTGGCATTTTTCACACAATATTTTTCAATAATTTCATGTCTTAATCAGGTCATAGACCCTTGACTTATTTAAATTTGCACTGCGGTGGCATACTTACTTCCGCTTTTGTTGCATTTCGCTGCAGTGTGATGTGTTGCACGAGAAGAGATGGTATTGTGCAACCGATATATAAGGGCTCCGCAGGACAAGGTTATTGAGGACTAGAAATTTTCATGATCTTTTATCTAACAATTTCCCATACATAAGTATAAATAAGAAAGCTTATTATTCTTCATTATATTTCTAAATTCATCCAATATGTTCTCAAATCTGATGTAATTTTCAGAACATGACAGCATATTGTAAACTACAAAGTCAAATGAATGAGTAGGGAATAGATATGCAGACTACAATGTACTTACTCATGTCTGATTTCCATCTCAGCATATTCACACCAGACACTGGCCAGGTCATCTACATGTTTGAACGGAACCTTGGTGGACTTCTCAAATATTGTTCTGGCCTAAATAATGAGGAGACAACAGATCAACTCACTTAAATCTTAGATACTCCTTCTTTCTGACATACATGTTTGAATGGACATAGATGTAAAGTGATGAATCATCAACAACTTTCACTGACATGTCTGAATCTTTTTACGATCAGTTTTTTAAAGTATAAGGCACTTACGTCGTCAACTTGGCTGTTTTCCTCGTAGTACTTAGCGAAGGCGACCCACAGTGTGTACAGCTTTCCTGTGGCCTTCTGTGGGTCCACCGTCTGTACTGCTTCTGTGTACGTATGGATAACCTAAAAACATGGAAACAGTGAATCTGTAATTTTATAGTAGGAGGGATTTTCACTCCTGTCACCATATATGTAAATGTGTTTGAGTAAGAATTAACAGAGCAGACCATATGGGAAGGTAACATATGGTCTTGCATTATGCATTTGCTTTAGAAATGTTACCTTTCTGAGTTTACTGTATTATTACCTCTCTTGCTTTTTCCTTCTCGGAGAAGAGTTTTGCCCGTTTGTGCCACTCGTTGACGTTGTGCGGGTTCTGTCGCAGCAGTACGCTGTTCAGCAGCAGGGGGCGCCGCTCCGAGATCAGGTCCTCAAACCTCGCCATCCGCAGGTCAAGGTCGTCCTGGTCTGAACAGTCCGACAAAGAAAAGTTCCCAATTGGTACAGTACTTTACTGTAATTTCTTATTTTTTCGCAGTACTTTTATATTCGCCATTTTCACTGTTGTACGGCAAACTTATCATTACCGTTACCTGCCGCCACCATGAGCGTATAGTTCTGTGAACACCTATTTTTCTCAGGCATAAAACCTACCTTCCTCTGACAGTTTCCCTTCCTCGTCCATCTCCAGTTTGTTGTTGACAATGGTGGACTCAAACTCACTGTAGGCGTCAAACACCTGAGCAAAGTCTCTCACTGTCACCACAGTCTGGATAGCTTCTTCATACACATCTCTGGCCTGGAACACAATGTCACACACAACATGTTAGTACTATAAACAGTACTGCTATATAGGACAGTGAGAGTCTATTTACCAACCTAACTACCTTTCCTAGTACACTTTTTGTATTTTTTTTCTTTTAATGCCCACGGTCATGAAAATGATCATTCTAGCATACTCATTTTCACCTGAGTCAAGTGAGGAAAGTTGTACTTTTCTTAAGGGCACAAGATAGGTGACATGGCTGGATTCAAACCCGGGACCTCTTTGTTCTGAGTAAATACTCTGCCGTTACGCCACATGACTCCACATACATGTACATAATGTACATCTGGAGAATTTTTGCCACTGTGAATTCATGATGCAGTGAAAAAGCCATGCATTGCTACTGTATTACAGAAATGTTTCAAACATGATATTAAAACACCACAACTTTGTAGACCATATTGTCCAGCTGAAGTGTTTACCTTCTCAAAGTGGCCACTGCGGATGTAGTAGTCAGCCAGAGAGTTCCAGAGCATGCCCAGCTGGTCAGTAAAGCGGTGGAGCCCGCCGCGGATAATGGCGTCCACGTTCAGCGAGCGGATCTTGTCAGGGTTCTTGGAAATCAGATCACAGAGGTCGTGCCACAGCTGAGAAGAGGGAGAGAAGGTGAGAAATGTTGTCAACTTGTTTTGCAGAAATTAAAAACTCATTAAAGTAATACTTTCAGATAATTGTCTCAATGGAATATGTACTTCTCACATCATATCAGGGGCTTCTACTTGGTGATGTAATCCATACAATCAAGTCTGTATAGTCTTATGGCCAGGAACTTGAGTAATTATTTTACCGAAGGAAAACATTTTGTTTTTGCTGTTTCTTCTTTCTCTTCTTCTACAAACAAATAAGGTCAATGACCTGAACCAGATGTCTGTTACCATGGTAACTAGTATTGGGTTACACCATGTTGCAATTTTATTGGATTTTATTGGGGGGATTTAGACTCCTGTCCCTACATATATGAATGTGTTTGAGTAAGAATTAACAGAACAGACCATATGTGAAGGTAAACATTATGCATTTGCTTTGCAAATGTTACCTTTCTAGTTAAAAATATGTACCTGGTGATTTGACTTGCCCCGCTTGGACACAAAGTCTTCCTTGTTGACCAGGTCAGCCAGCCGGGTGGCCGCCTCGTCAAGCCTGTCTATGGAGATCAGGTAGTCAATGTAGTCCTCTGTGTTCTCTGGGGCCAGCTGGTTTAAGGGAGGAAAAAAAAGTATCAAAAACATGCATCATACAATGAACGGTCTCATTACAAGTTCTGATGCATATTTACATTTCTTTAAAGATGAGTCAATAACTAGGAACAAGCCTTCAATGCCAACAGGTATAATAACATACCAACACAGTAAACAAATTTTAGGTACAGGTACTCATGCAACTCAAAACTGACCAAAGTGACATCAAGGGAGAGTGTAGTAACTACAAAACAGATTTTTCAGGGTGGTTAATACTGTCAGTCTGTAATACAAACACACAGTCCTGTCTCTGGGACCCATGGGGGACCAGTCATTTTCCTATTTTAGGTCACAAATAAGCATATAATTAGTGTAACTCTATACAGGTACAGGACCTGTACCTAATAGATTTTTCAGTACAGTACTGGTACAGCGTATCGGTACACAGCCCTACCCCCAACAGACAAATCTTGCCCACCTTAAGGTACCGTCTGTAGACTCTAACCGCGGTCTCGTGCAGCGGGTAAGTCTTGATGAAGTTGAGGTACATGGGCCAGATGCGGTGGTGCTGAGTGATGGGTAGGGCTCGCAGTGCCCGGTCAAACGTGCGCCGGGTACGGGTAATCTTCTTCTGGTCCATCAGGAACTGGCAGTAGTCCAGCCAGATACGCGGCATCTGATGGTGGAGATATACGTTCAAATGTGATATCTTATCTGATAAAATATCTGATAAACTGTTATTATATTCATCTTTTGCAATGATAAGCTATACCTATCATGTACAGTGCTCACTTTTGCTTTCAAGTTTTAAATTTAACATGACTGAGCCAAACAATCTTTTTTTATGGGAAGTTGTTTTTTTAATTCCAACATATCATGACTAGACATGGTGATGGCACATTCATGTTCAAACTTATCTCATGCTGCCACCAATACAGACAAATGCACGGACAACACACATACTAGTACCCATATTTACTTGAGTTATGTGGGGAAATTTATGTAAAGACTGTACTTAAGTGCCTTTCCCAAAGGCACAAGCATTGGCGGCATGGCAGGGTTCGAACCCAGGACCTCTTGGTTCCGAGTCGAGCCATTACGCCACATGACGGCTTGTTCTTCTACCAACATTTCTCACCTTGTGCATGAACACCAGGGCCCTCTCAAAGGCATTGTTGACATCTTCATAAGCAGGGTCTGTGATGCACCTGCCTCGCACCTGCTTCCTTCTCCTCTTCAGGTAGTTGTACCACAGTTTGTAGCTGAAACAGGTGGTCAAATTTGCATGTGACTAAATGATATGACAATAAAGAAAGCAAATACATGTACCAGTAACTCAGATAGGACCCAAAAAATTTCTTCAACCGTTATATCTAAAACACCACATTAACCTTTTCTTTGTTTGTTTGTTTTATATAACCAGTAAACTGCCTGTTTTGTACATGTATAATGATGTAAATGTACATGCTGCGAACGACTGGACTGTAAGGTTTGAACTACTCACACCGGGATGGATCCCTAGTACTCTTATCGATAAGTGCGGTGGGTTCCTTAACATACGTGGGAACCTCCATTTAACGTCTTAATCGAGGGACGTCCCTAACCGAAGCTAGGCACTTCACCTGAGTGAAGTGAGGAAAGTCGTGTAAAGTGCCTTTCTAAGGACACAAGATCGGCGACATGGGTAGGATTCGAACCCCGGACCTATTGGTCCTGAGCCGAACACGCTACCGTTTACGCCGCACAACCCAACGACTTTCCTACAGAGAAAGATAGTCCCTATGGAAATATTATGTCTTCCACTGCGTCTACTGACCTGCCTGGCAGTTCCCTCAGAGCCCGCTCATACACCAGGTTGATGGCCTTGCCTGGTGCGTTGGTTGTCGTTTTGTGTTCGACGTAGCGCAGCCAGCACTTCACGGCGAAGGGGTTGCGCAGGATGTCTTCTTCGTATGCAAGGTCTGTCTCCTCCTAGATAACAACATCACACAAATTATGAATCTAAAGATATTTATCAAAATCGGTAACTTACCAAAAGCATGACAAAGCCCCCCTCCCCCTTTCGAAACCTATTTAATTTCTTTCATTTTAGTTTCAACATTTTGCGAATAAGAGCACACACTTACCAGGAGCAGGTCCTTATTCTCTTCCACTGACATGTTTATAAGTATCATGTAGAACCTTCTGCAAGCAAATTAGTGATTCTGAATACTTACAAAAACGATAAACAACGCAAAACCTGACAAAATTTACGAACTTAGTGCGTCCACGCTTATTCTCGCGAGATGTGAGCAGTTCGCGCGAGACTTCATATTGACCAATCAGAGACGTCGCGGATTTGAATAGCAGTAATTTGACAAGATTTGGTGGCCTGTATATAATTTCCCATCTTCACAAAATATAGAGCTTCTTTGGGGATTGTGCGTCTCAAAGTGTGCGACTGTCGTCATTAGACTGTGTCAGCGCAGAACAAGGCGGTCCCACAGATGTTCTGAGGTGAGAAAACGTTCAACTGTAGCGCTACCATAATTTTTGTAGCACGAAAAAAAAAATCGGCACCTCTTGACTTCGCTGACCAAAAATTCACAACTTATCCTCCGATTAACTTGTGGTTCATTTTACTCTTAGCGGAAGCAGAGAATTCTAACAGCTTCACGTTCCAAAAGGGACCCAGGCCAAGGCGTAATCCTCCGCTAAACGTTCTCCCTTTGAATGGACATCGGTGAAGTGTTTTTGTTGGCACTGTCAAAGACTGTCAACACGGCCCCCCTCCCCATGCTGAAACAGTAGTGGAGCGCTCCTAATCGCAGAATTACTTTGAATTAGTCGAGTAGTTTAGCCACAGTCCCCATGCTCAAGCACGGGTCCTTTTGAGTTCTACATCGTGGACATTTGCTGGCTCATGCAAAGCTTTTAATCTTCTTACCTTGTACACGTACGTACACAGAACAGAAAATGATCTTCATCAAAAACGCAAGAAGCATGATGATGAATTGGTGTGCAGATAGCTGTGTGGCTTCTTGTGGTAATTTGATGTAATCAAACAGCCCTCCCCTGGCTAATTACCAACCGCAAGTAACAATTATCAGTAAAATTAAAGGTACAAGGAGATAACTATCAATCTAAGACAAAAGGTTTGTGCTCAGATGTGTGTGGGCGAGGAAAGTCACGATTTGGGAAATGGACTACTAGTATCTTCATGTAGGAGATCATGTTACAAGAACATTGTAATAAATATACTACTATCCCAAGAAGTGTTCAGTCAATTTGCATGTGTATAGGAAGCCAGATGAGGTGTGAAGATAATCTAATTGTCCTGGACATATCATTATCACCTCTTGTTCCAGCCCATCCTGAGTTTCCCTGGGTCTCCTATACTATGTCTATAGTATAATAACTTACCCACCCAACCAGGTTCGGTTGATTAGTGCACTCTAAGGGACTGTACGATATTTACCGGTGGGGGAGGGCTGGTGCGTAGGGGGGGGAGGGCCATGGAAAAAATATTTGGCATATGGGGGAGGGCCATGGAAAAAAAATCGGGGCTGGGGGGAGGGCCATGGAAAATTTTCTTTACGAATCCGTCGTACGATCCCTCGAAAAGTGTCCCTCAAAATGCAGGAAATAATGTTCAGAGGGTCAACTATTACACATTTTTCCCGAGCTCTCGCGCCTTCGGCGCTCGACACAAACTTACGGCAAACAAAAATTGAGATGACGGACGGGAAAAAATCAGGCTGACTAGAACATTGATTATTGAAAAATAACAAAAAATGAATACTAAAGCATGAAGGTCTAAACCTAGCATATTTAGCACATTGACCAAGAAACACCGGTTTTTTTACAGCAGGCGACGCCCTGACGCTCAAATCTGGCCTGCTTTGTGCTGTTGTCCTATAAAACGTGATTTGTTTTTACCATTTTACTTAACGTAAATTCCCGACTAAAGTACGCACTTCTTAAACTTTTCAAAATCCCAAAAGTGTCTCGGGCCGTCACCAAAGTCGGGGTGCGTACTTTATTTGAGATTTTCCCCCGACAAATACGTGGACGACCCAGGAATATAGCGGAACACCGGCACGGGGAGCTTGGAACGACATCGATCGTCCATAGCATGTTTATAGATAAGAATATTGACGAGTGGAAATGAAGTTGAACTTCAATAAATGAACATATTTCCTCTGACTATCATCGATATTTACACCAAGTTCCGGTAAAAGAAGAAGTCAAGTCAAGCACACGGTAAGAAAATGTAGGTCACAGGCAAAGATGTCCGGCGCTTTGTCATGCCGACAGGATCGTTCGCCAGCCAGTCGGAGGCGATCTCAGGAGAACCCCGGCCGAGAAAAAAGTAAATACATATACAATATTGTAAGAGGGTTTATGAGTAGTAATATTTGAAATGGTCCGCAAGCCATGAACGTTCTTGATCGTCGTAACATAACATATGAAAACGTAATAGTTGTACCTCGACTGATGGTCACTTCTAATGCACTTCCGGCTTGGGTTGAACTCAGAAAATTCAACAAAGATTATGCCCATGCCGTTACAGTTTAGTTGACAGAAATTGTTATCCATGGTATTTCGTAACAGAAATCTTTTTGAATCTTGATAAATGCCACAGGAAATTATTTTGTAGCGGGTTATACCTGCCACGCACGACGTGAAAATGCGAGCTAGATGTACTTCTACCCGGCTGTTGCAAACTACAATGATAGGGGCGGAGTTATAAGATGTAGTCTTTACTGAAATCTTACCGCCCGGCGGTGGGCGGGTCCAGTCTGTACGCGCCGACAGGCGTGGCGCCTGTGTTCGTGCCGTTGCCCTGACAACGCATGAAGTACTAGACCGGGAAGCAACGTGCACGTACTGAAGTGTGATCGGCGTGAATAAGGGCGTAAATAAAATAAACTTTGAATCATGCTACGCTTGTTCTCTTGTTCACGCCGAACTCTTTCTCCAATGTGCACCTACAACTGAAAAACTGCGAAGAGAGGGTCGTGGCAGCGCTGAGGACTGAGCTTTCCAGAACTTGGGCCCCGAGAAGGAAGTATTTTTTTCCTCTGAACAGACTGTAACGTTACATATAAGTTTTAAGGAGTGCAAATTTATGCATGTTTGAAGTGTATATCCGTTTGATTTTGTGACAAAAACATCTCTCACATTACGAGAAATTATTTGAAACGCCCAGTCAGACATTTCACTCTCTCCTGTTCGGAATCGCAGGTTCCAGTAGCGCTGTTGTTGTTCAACTTGTTGTTTTAGTTTCAGTGTCAAATTTTAAATTTAGTAGCACTTCTACACCCACAGTAGCAGTAAAACCCCGCCCAGTTCTCCGCCTCGATGATTGTTGCTCCCCATGGGTCGATGGGCGGGCGCTATTAAAGAAGTGTTCGGCGCATTTCGTATACTAAAGAACAACAAAGCCTACGTACTTGTGCATCAACATTCAACTACCCCTGTTAGCGAGAAAAGAATTATTGAATTTTTTCACAAATCTTTATTGACTATTGCCTGATCACCAACACTCTCCGGGATCCAAAATTGTACGTTTCGCCGCACTCGTCTTGTCCTTCCATGCGGTGGTGACGTCTTGCAAATCGGCTGCGGCCGGCGGTGAAAACAAGCCCCAACAGGCCAACACGAAACATTTCCCGCTACAATACTGTAACCAGTTACCACACAATCACGTAGTACACGGCCTAAATCTATTTTTAACCAGCTTTTTTCTAGAACGAACTGTCTTTAAGACATACTGTAAGTCTCTTTAGATTCGCGGGGCCTAAAGTTCGCGGTTTCGGGAAAATGGACAATCCGCGGTATTTTTAGATTCGCGATTTCTCCTTGGCTATTTTTCAAAGAAAAATTTGTAAAGTGTATATTTAAAATAATAAAAGGTCGTGTTCCGGCATTTATATCCTAAAACGCGGCGCAAAAATTTGTTTCGTGCACCGCGCGAGGCTGCCGGTGGTATAGCTGACGATCGATCTGACGCACGTGTAAACAATTTTCTTTGTTTGGAAATAAGCGCTAAAACGCTATTTTCCACGTCTACACATCGATACTCTAGTGAAGAAATGCATAATCGAAAGAATCTTTCGGGAAAATATATATTACTAAAAATATTTATGCCGTCTTCGGCGAGATTTTGAACCCGGAAGTATGCAAAGGTCGCCTTCGGTTTTGTAGTGGCCCACGGTAACGTTTCTATCCAGCAAAAAAAAAAAAACGACCCGCAAAGCAGAGCGCAAAAGAGAATCAACTAACATTTCCCAGATACCAGCAGTTATATTTCTAATCAAAATATTTGTAGATATGCCCGATGTGCCCGCAATTTTCAAGCGCCCGGGCGCGCATGGCCGGCGCGCTGCACACAGAGATTTTTGTCCGGCGGTGCACGTTTGACACGGCCAGTGCCGCAGTATCGCGATTTGGTGTCTCATGATATTATAATTTTTTGACATCAGTATAACTTAAAAAAATTTTGGTACTCAACATACGTACATTTGCTAAGAATAAAGTTGATTTGCAGTGATTTGTGTTTGTTGCGTGTGTTTGTGTTTCGCTTACCGTCGTGAATGCATGTGGGGAGGGGGACGCACTTACGCAAAACATATTCGCGGGGAAATAGATTGGCGGTACAAAGGTCCCCGCGAATTCCGCGAATCTAAATATACCGCGGAAATTTGTAGACTTACAGTACATACAGATCCACAGTGCCACCGGCCGTGTGTAGAAGGGGTGCGTACTTTATTTGAGTTTTTCCATTTTACGTTTCAGACGTAATATTTGTCTCCCACCAGCCACAAATCGGGGGTGCGTACTTTAATCAGGATGCGTACTTTATTCGGGAATTTACGGGTAATACCTGTAGGGGGAGGGCCATGGAAAAATTTTTTGAGGTGGGGGGGAGGGCCAAGGAAAAAATTTTGAGATTGGGGGGGAGGGCCATGGAAAAATTTTTTGACCGGACTTCCAGCGCACCAGCCCTCCCCCCCCGGTAAATATCGTACAGTCCCTAAGAATTTGTCACAGTACCCTAGTTTGCCTCAGATAAGTAAGGACAGGCGTAAGGCTATAATCAGAAAGATCGGCTGTCAGAAATATCAGCTGTCAGAAAAAAGGAGCCAAATTATTCTTTATCAACAAAAATTGCCTTTATATACAGCAGCACTGTGCCTATGGACTCTTGCACAAGGCTATCATATTCTGTAGTACTGTTGAAATTTAGATTGGAAGTAAAGGTGACTCTTTACATTGTACAAATTAGCCTCTATTTTCCTGAAATATAGCTAGCCTCCATAGCATACCAAAAACTGGGGGTTTTGGGGGTCTTCAGGGTCTTTGGTAGCTTTTATGTGCTATTTTCTGATTGCATTATAGACAGCATAGCCGACCTGGTTGAATTACCCCCATTTTTTTAACTGGGCTAATCAGAAAACAGCCGAAGACCACCAAACCCCAGTTCTATAAGTATAAGCCTGCTACGGAGGCTAAAATATAGCTAAGTATGTGTAACTGGGGGCACAGCAACAACCTTCCCACAACCTGCCCTCACTGATTATCATGGGAGGCCAAACAGTGTCAGTTACAGTCAATTCATCAGTGGGAGGGGGTCATGCTGGGGCCTGGCTGTCAGCTGGTATGTAATATGCATCACACCAGATTATGATAGCAGTAGGTGGTGTATCCTTGGTTTGTTTAGATAATTTTGTTGGAACTCATAACATAAGTCGGTGTCAGGGTTTGAAATACTGCTGGGTGCATGTGCTGTGCTGTGAATCTAAATGATGATTGACCAAGGAGGTTAAAAAGAGCACCTAGATATTTATTTATGTACACTGTACATATATACTAAAGGTAAAAGTGTACAGCATTTTCTTGACTGTGTAATTTGTTATGCTGACATTCTGCTTTACAGTTTTACAATGTATTTTGTTCATCCACATTTTTTTTGCACATGAATTGTCAGGGCAAGCGTACCTGGGCACCTATTCCCCAAAATGAATTTAATTTTAGCTCTTTTAGTCATATTTTCCCATGTGTGGAGACCAATATTATAGATTTACAATACAAGTTTTTTACAACTTGTGCTTTGCTGACTAACATTAACGTCAAATACCATTCGACTCACGTCTCAAGATCAAGTCATGTTTGTTTGTTTGTTTATTTGTTTTGGCTTTATGCTGTATCACTAGTAAAGAAAGTTGCTGCTTGGAAAAGGTTAACTTGGTTGTGATTTGTGAATGATGATTTTCACCCATCTAGTAGCCCAGTGACCTCTCCCATCCCATTTACCAACCACAGAACACCAGGCTTTGCAACTGCCACAAGGAAGCTGTCTTGTACTAGTGTAAGACAGGAAGTCATGTAATGTGATGTATATCCCCAGGGCTTTTACAATGTCCTTGGCTCAGGTGTTCCATGTAGCTCCAAAAAGCTGACAGCTTGTTAGCTCTGTCAGGCTGCAATACTGACCTGCTAAATGATCAGAAAATATCTGGCAAGACTTGTCCCCTTTCCTTTGTCAGTGTTCAGCTGTCTTAATGACTTATCCTGACCAACAGATGGGGACATGAGTCATATGACAAATGGCACAGTTAGAGGTATCATGCAACCACTATCTGGTCTGTCTTCAGTTGTTCTTTTTCTGTTTTCCCCAGATCCAGTAATCTCGGAGAGGCCGTGTTTGTTCCAAGCCAACAGACAGGCAACACTGTGGTTTTTCTATCAACTGTTTTGTATACAGAGCTGGATTCCAGATAACCAGGTGGGTTTACTGTTGACATAGATGTGGAAAGCAGTGCATCATCAGTTGTAGTACTAGTAGGAAATGATCAACAAGGTGGCAAGATGGTTCTATATTTGGCAAGAAGACTGAAGAAAAAATATACAGCTGGATATAGCTTAGCCCCTGGCCTGTCTATGGGTATAATTGTCCCATCTAGTAGTATATTCAAGTAAAGTCTCATTTGATATACTGCACTGTATTCTTTATGTTTAACTTGCATCTGAAGCCAATCTATTTGGGACCATCTGGCACCATGCTGACAAAATAAAAATGTGTTTCTGTAACATCAGACATAATTGCTCTGTAATATTCATATGCATATCCCCAAGTGTTCTGTCTATAGAGGTATGCTGAACAAACAATCAGTACTGTACATATAAATGTACTTACTTAAATGTCACGTTCAGTGAAAGGGAAGGTACATGCCATACAAAATGTCAACGTTAATTGCATGTGGACAAAGGATGTTCTTGTTTTTCGTCAGCTCTGACAGCTAGCCTTGACTCCAAGACCATTTCCTAGCTTCCACAAAGTGCATTTCACTTAAATCACTTGAAAGTTGTCCCTGTATTGACTTCTTTTTTGCCACTGGGCATTATTTTAAAGCAATTAACGTTTTAGCGCTGATTTTCATGTAGACTGTTGCTGTCATACTATCATAGTTCATTGTGAGTTTTCCACAAATTAATCAAATATTTTACATTGATATTCCTATCTGTAATAGGTATTTTCCTAAAAGTGACATTCATTTTTATTTTCTTCTCATATTTGCATTCTATGTACCAATGTGTATTATACTATACATTCTTTACACTGATTTATAACTAGATAATCAATCTCGAGTCCCCAGTCCCACACAGAAATATCCTTAGAAACCGCCAGCTATGCAGATTGAATTTGTAGATCGAAAGAAGGGCCCCAAGATTTCTTGGAAACAGTCCAGGATTCTAGCTGGTACCTTATTCTAGTCTTCAGGAGAATCAATATCATCATTGTGCACAGTCGATACTGTAATTTCACTTATTTTTGCGGTGGCTTAATTTTGCTTGAGAAGGGAAAAGTTTCCGTGGTGTCCTAAGTTGAAACAGTTCTGTAGTATGATAAATAGAAAACATATATGCATGATGTAATGATTTTACGGTAAGAAGCCACTGCAAAAGTAAAAGCACTTAACATTTTGAGATTTACGGTAACACAACAGTAATTCAAATGTATGGCGACTAATATTTCATGACAAAAGATCGTGGTGATTGTCGTTATTGTATAAAGATGTCACTGGAAGAAAGGCATCAGCAACAAAGCAGTATGTAATTTTATATCCAGGCAGCTTTCTATCAAACAATGCTGACAAAACTTAATATGAATTGAAAGGATTATATTATATTCTGCCAGAGGGTAGGTTTATTTTACATACAATGTAAGAAAAAAACCTTGATCTGCTGTGAACCACGGTCCAGAATGATTGCTGTGACTTTGGATGTCAAAAGGGAGACTTTGAAGTTTGAGTAGTGAGACAAGGTGGTCTAACGTGGCAAGATGGTGTTACAGTTAGGGGTTGTTGGCGACAGAATCTAAAGGTTCCGGGTTCGATTCCCTCAGCAAGCCCCCAATGTTGTAACCTTGCCCATAATATAACATGGTTTCCCTTCATCATTTTTTACATTTTAATGTGAATTTCTTTCCCTCTAGGCTGTACCAAGGCCATCATCCAAATGGCCTTATTATTAATTTTATGCAAGTAGTAAACAGGATATGATGATGAAATTGGGCTGTTTCCTCGTTATATAAGATCGATTGATGTCATGTTGCTATGGAGATTTATGTCTTTACGAAGGTGAATATTTTATGTAACCTGCATTAGAATAGTAAATATTCATAAAGATCTACTACTAGTACTAGTAAGGAGGTAAAAATGGTCAATTAAAGGATCTCAATGCCAAAATTTAGGTTAAGTCAAAATTCCTTGTGGAGTCAATATAGACTAGTAAATAACTATCTTATCATGAAGGAAAATTCATCCGCTGGAAATGGATCATCCGTCGGATTATAATAAGTTAGATAAATCAACTTGTTTATATAACTCAAATTCCTCTCAGCTTATTAGGCAATTTCCTTCCCTACATTTGCCTCAGTAGGCCACACCAATTTAATTTGTTGGTTCTGGGATTCGCCTCTTCGTTTTTTTCTGATTTGCAAGCAAAAAAAAAATTTGATTCTGGTCCTGAATCAACTGAAAAATGCTCATGTTTTGCCCCCCAACAGTTGAGGAAAGTCCTTTTCTTCCTAGTTGTTACAGTTTTCCCATCTATCATTGCAGTGGTTTGATTAAAAGTTCAAAATTCAATGTTTAAATTTTAACCCAGCCTTTTGTGTTGACTTCATGGCCCATTTTGTAGCATTTAAGCCTATAATAGGATGCCTAGACCTGTTTTTATTTTTATTTTTTTTGCCCTGTCGCTTCATATTTTTTCTGAAAAAATCCGAGAACCAACAAATTAAATTGGTGTGGCCTTAGATATAACAAAGCAGTGCAGTGATTTAGTGTTTCTTATGGTTGGTCCTTTGTAATATGATATTCATTTGATCAAAGATCTTTTCACGTCATGATATCTGTATTATATAGTGAATTTTATTATGAAAAGATAATTTTATTTGAAGTCCCTAAGAAATCCAGGTCAAGTGATTTATGTGAGGATGCCATCTGCTCTCCAAGCCAATTATACCTGATTAGATATTGAGCCTTTATACGTTGACATCCTGTCGGCGCTGACAGTCAATCACAAGGCCACACCAGCGCTTTAATTTGTTGTTTCTTGGATTCACCTGTCCATTTTTTGTCTGATTTGCAAAAAAAAGAGTCTGGTTCTGAATCAACTCAAATAAGCTCATATTTTCCCCCCAACAGTTGAGGAAAGTCCTTTTCTTCCAAGTTGTTACAGTTTTTTCCATCTATCAATGCAGTGGTTTGATTAAAAGTTAAATTGTTGAAAATATTAAATTGTGTTGACGTCATGGCTCCTATTGTAGCATCTGGGGCTATAAATTATAATACTGATGCCTAGACCTGTTTTTATTTTATTTTTTTTTGCCCTGTCGCTTCATATTTTTTCTGGAAAAAAATCCGAGAACCAACAAATTAAATTGTTGTGGCCTAAAGGTTCTCTGTTCACCACAGGATGACCATGGACGCATCATGTATGGAGCTGGCGCTGGAAGGGGAGCGGCTCTGCAAGGCGGGAGACTGCCGCGCCGGGGTCTCGTTCTTCGAGTCGGCGGTGCAGGTCGGGACGGAGGACCTGAAAACGCTGAGTGCAATCTACAGCCAGCTGGGAAACGCCTACTTCTACCTGCAGGAGTACGAGAAGGCACTGGAGTACCACAGGCATGATCTAACACTGGCCAGGTGGGACAGAGCAGGGCTGTATTACTTCTGTTCTCTGTCATAAAATAATGTGACAGTCCTACTTGGAAGGTTTTTTCAGTATATGTGTGTCTGTATGTGTGATTCCAGCGTACTTCAAGCAGTGGCTGGATCTTTATGATATTCTGAGTTAATTTCTAAATTTTCATATTGTACATATGATATGGTAAATCAGTGTAAATTGGAGCTCGAAATACTTGGTGCATGTGCAAAATTGGAGCTATGCACACAACTTTTTTTTGTGGGTGCACCAGTGCACCCAAATATTTGCATACGTTTATGTATATGAAGATATCAACTGTATATACAGCATATTCTTGACATCTCGGTGTCAGAAAAATCTTTGTTGTTTAAGATTATTCTATATGGTCCCCCGAAAACATTTTTTGTGCACCCAATTTTTTTAGGTTAGGTGTACCAGTGCACCTATTCCCAAAAATGGATTTCGAACCCTTTAAATAAATAAATAGATTGAGAGAAAAAGATTTTACTACAAATCTGTTGAAGAGCTGTTTTTGTAACGTCCAAGCCTGTCCTAGTGACCCTGCCAGCTGAGATGAAGACAGATTGTGAGAATTGCCCCAGTTTACCCAAAAAGGCTCCAGCCATGTACACAACAGACGCTGTATTTATTTAATCTGCCAGCACATAGGGGGACTGCAAATATTAGAACATGCCTGCACCTGTATTCATGGACAGCACTGCAGCAGCTGAAGTAGAGGTTTCATCCTCTTCAAAGCTTTAAACTCCAGTTAGTCTAACAAACAACAGGGTTAGAAATGCAGAAATGTCTGAAAAGTAGGGAAGCAATACAGGTTAGGCAGCACTGTCAGGCATATGAAATTATGTACGTTGAGTGATTCTAAAACTACCATTCTGCTAATTTCTTTTTCTTGAAGCTGTTGTAGAATGAGATGATACAGTTTCAATCTCTTATCGTTATGCTTTATAATCATTTTGAACCAAAGAAAACATAGGGATAGTTTTCCTAGGCTTCAATATGTGATGTTTGGTATGCTGTCTTATTTAACCAGCTGCAAACACATTGTTGGCATTCTCCTTTATCTCTGACAACGATAAATACAAAATTTTGCGGTTCCCAAGTTTTTTGAAGATGCATGTATGCTTTGCTGTCCAAAACCTCAGCACTGTATTGAGGACTACTTGATTGCAAGCAATATTTGATTGCTTTGTTGTGCTCTGGTGAACGGCTACAGAGATATGTGAGTGACTGCAAGAGGTGTGTTTGGTATGTGTACCTGTCAAACCAGCCAACCACACAAATATTCTGTAATTACAATGAAAGTAAAAGTGACAGATACAAATGTGGAAACTGAAAAGGGTTTGACTGTTGATGTGGCCAGAGTGCGAGACTCCAGGCGATGACGGTGGCTGATGAATTGTTGTTATCTATAGATAATCAATGGCTAAGTCAACTGTCAACAACAACTATAAACCATTTAACATGGAGCCTCAGGTGCAACGGGTTACCAGGCATGTCAAGGTGTTCTTGTCTTGTACATGTAGTTGAAAAAATTCATTATTACCTTCGCCAAGAAGGCTATGTTTTCGTTGGTGTTTGTGTGTCTGTGTGTGTGTGTGTGTGTGTGTGTGTGTGTGTGTTAACAAGATAACTTGAGAAGGCTAAAATAGATTGTCTTGATATTTGGTAGGTGAGTAGGTCTTCATATGACCTCGAAATGATTAGATTTGGGGCCCCCTGGCAGCTCGTTATGGTACTGCAGCTGAACTTCCGGTTTTGATATCTCATAATCTGGACAACCTAGTTAAGATATTTGATGGGTGTTTGGTCAATGTTGTATCAGAATAACGTGTTTTTTCATGATTGTTTTCCAACATAGCTATGTGGAAACTACACAGGTATATATAGTATGTAACTATATATCCTTATGCTAGCACAACCTAACGTGCAGGTGGTGTGCTCAGTGAAAATATTGCCTCCTTAAAATCCTACTTTCCCTCTCTCCGTGCAGAACCCTGAGTGACAGGCTTGGAGAAGCGAAGGCCAGCGGTAACCTAGGCAACACGCTGAAGGTGCTAGGCAAATTTGATGAGGCTATTGTCTGCTGTCAGAGGCACCTGGACATCTCCAGGGAACTGGCTGACAAGGTGAGACACAGGAATCAATACAGTAGAGTGCTGTAGTCTGGGGCTGGGCTGTGGCACTCTCTACCATACAGCTTCAACCAGGCCTAGAAAAAATATATTATTGTGTTTCTTGTTTCAGTCCTGAAAAAATTCAGTGTCAGTTGGTAGGTTTTTTTTTTACTTCTTTTTTAGACTAGGCAATCTCTAGTGATCCAACATACAGTTTAACAGAGTAAAACTTGCATGAGGACACTTATATTTTCTTGGAAACTAATTGCACAATATTTCATCACTCAGGTGTCACAAGGAGATAGAAAAGGTCAATCAGCTTGAAAAATTTATGTCCCTTGCAGGGGTGAACACAAAAAAAGGATCTCTGGTGAAATTACTAAGCCGAAACTGGTTGACACCCATGTATCATTGTGTAACAAATCTTTCTCAAACTTTTTCTTCCTTGCTGTATCTTCAGGTTGGTGAGGCGAGAGCTCTGTACAACCTGGGCAACGTTTACCACGCCAAGGGGAAGCACGCTGGAAGGAACAGCCAGCATGACCCAGGGGATTTCCCCGAGGATGTCAAGGCTTCGCTTCAGAAAGCCACCGAGTTTTACGAGTGAGCCGCCTGCGTGTTATATTAGTCCTGAAGTCTTGTTATGGTGTGCTAAATCCACTACATCCCTCTGGTATGGTAATCTGAGTCATTTGTTCTGGGGATTTTGCCAAGACCTGGTTGGCAAACAGTTTTTGGAAGGTGAAGGTAGCTGTGTGTTAAAACTAAGCATGACAAGCAGTCCAGAAGTGATCCATCTACGACAGAAATACATGTACTGTAACTCAGTTTATGTTAACAGTAGAAAAAGTTTGTGGTCTGAGAAAAATTGAGGTGATTACAGAACTATATGTTCACAGTGAAAGTCAGAGAATTACGTGTTATATGATGCATTCGTGGTACAGAAGTGACCGCGAAAACCTTGAACATAAGAGAACTGCCAAAAAATCAGAAATTACAGTACTAGATTAGTGGGATTTCCACCAAGAAAGTGGAACAACTTTACTACCTGTCCAGTACTGCATCATACCTATCTTACACTTTTACAGTATCAATAATACTATCATACCTATTTTCAAAAAAGACAGAATGATAAAAGTTCTGACTTGAATTGTTACGAATGATAGACAATGACTTTGTGTTCCAGAGCCAACCTGACCATTGTGAAGGAGCTGGGGGATCGAGCGGCGCAGGGCAGGGCGTGTGGCAACCTGGGTAACACCCACTACCTGCTGGGTAACTTCAGCCGTGCCATCATGTTCCACGAGGAGGTAGGGGTCAATGTTGTGGCCAAGTACACCGCAGCGTGTGGGTCATTATTAATTCAGATCCATTAGGCATTACTGTAGAGACTTAGCTACCTCGCCATTGTATAAGGCTAATGATCTTCCTACAGTTTGAGTCTGCGGTTGGTGTCTGTAAGTATAAGTGCATTTGTAATCTGTAGTCAGATGGCATTAAGAAAGATTTTAAAAGACTGAGGTGTGAGCCTGTGCTAAGGAAGTAATTTTGCTAAAGTTTCAGGTTTTTAGTCCTTGTTGTAGCTCTTCGTTTCTGATAATCATTTATTTTACATATTGACTGGAGAAATGTTAGACGATGCAGGTAAGCCGAGGTACGGGAGGTGGAGAGTTTCCCGTGCGGGAACTGTGCCATGTATGAGGCACAGTTCCCGCACGGGAAACTCTCCACGGGGAGGCACGGACTCCCGTCCGGGAGACTCACCACTCTGGAGCGACAGTGCGCGCCGATGTGTTTTCATTGCTTAGCTCCCAAATGGCAAGCACGGGAACGTCACCATTTCGGGCCAACATTACGTAACGGGAACGTCACCATTTCGGTACGACATCGCGCGATCGGGAACGTCACCATTTTGGGTCAACATCGCGCGATCGGGAACGTCACCATTTTGGGTCAACATCGCGCGATCGGGAACGTCACCATTTTGGGTCAAATCTCAAACTTCACACCGGTATCAAAAAAGACGAATTTATGAAGCCACAAACGCACATTTTCTGCGAGATTAATGTATGGGTACCTTTTCCCTTTTGAGTAAATGCCATGCATTCATGGGTATTTACGGTAGAAAACGAACTTTCGAAGATATCTTATTATGGATGTAATGTTCCAAAATCTAAGAACGTCGAAACAAACAACATAGTACTGTCAAAGCAAGGATGAAAGCTCCTTGGTCAAAGCAATCACGATAATAATTTGTATATTCCAACAACTCACTGATTTTGCTTTCAGGAAGAGGGACTATGATAAGGAGAATCGGGAAGCATATCTATGTGACTGCCCGGGCCTGGATACTAATGCTGTAAACAACGCAGCATTTTTTTAAATACCGAGAATGAAATAAAATAACAAGATACCTGTGGGCATTGAAGGCTAGATATGGATCTTCAATCTCCAAATCTTGTGGCGTTGGCTACTTCATCTGTGTCCTCTATCGGTCAACACTGACTTTATAGTGAAACAACACTCGCTTCTCGCTCCCGACGTTGCGACACGCCGCCGGTGGCCATAAACCCACGCTACTACTAATTAATATTCATTAGGTCAAAGGTCATGGTATTGTTTAATGTCAAGGTCGGAGAACACAGTATTAATGGGCGTGGGTATAGAAAGTAGTGCGGACAGAACTCTTGAATCGAGCAAGGACATTCTTCTGTGATGAAAGCTCCTTGAATCAAGCGACTTATGTGAGCGGGTAGCTAGGGGTAAACGGCGCTGTGTTGTATAGAAATGCATCGGCTTGTACACTGTATGATTTGATACGGTGTACAAGATACATACTGTGAATATTTCCCTGTTCGTGTATAAATGCGCCGCATTACGCAACTGCATTCCAGGGTGAGCCGGCTGCAGTTCCATTGACAGCCACAGGTGGTCAAATAAAAGAGGTCGTCACGATGTTAAAAACATAACTTTTTTGTTTTCAATTATTCTGTAGATTATTGACCATATATTTCAAAATACGTAGTTGGCCGTGTTTCTGGGGTGCTTAACTATAGAAATCCCCATGGGGCGAAAACTGTGTTCTGTCCATTCAAAGGTGATGCGACAGTTTGCGTAGTACTAGTATTGCCATTTTGGAATTCACTTGGAAACGGATACGTTAACTTAGCATTATGTTATTGTGATTAAACGTGATAATGTGTGCAATATCCTTGAGCCGTAGTTCTCTGTATTTTTTAAATGTTGACGAGTTTTGCAGACTTTCACCAAGGAGGTAGCTCCTTGCTTCCACTGTGACATATTTGCGGCGGCAGAGGCGCAGTGTCTGGTGTTCTGTATATTTGAGACGGACGCCCTTTTCCTGGGATTTGGATTTAGATCCTTTCTATCTCCAAAATACTGCTCATCGATAGGAACAGTGGCGTATATTTACTAATCCAAGCTACACCGTCATGCTCTGCGTTTCAGGAAACGTGACGAAGATGTTGATACTGATGGCAATAGGATATGAATCGAGATAATGTTTGAATTTTGTATGACCTTGTATGCATTTATATTGTATAGAAAAAGTGTAAAAATATTTTTTCAGGGTTAAAATTTACAGTGTCTACCCCAATGCATTGAAGAGGCAACTAACAATATTATATGCCCAAAATTCTATGGGAAGTCGGCTGGAAATCTTTGTTCATCGATACGATATTTTCGACATACTTCTCTTAGCGGAATCGTATCACTCCGGCCTTCGGGTGTCCGCCGGCTCAAGAAATCGTATAGAAACTGTAAATCCGGTCCAAAAGAACGAGTGTGCTTCGCAATGCATGGCGGTATAGCATCAGTTGTTTCGGCAGAACAATAGAAGGTCAACGGCGGCCATGTTTATTCCGGTATAACAACATATAACATCACTACATATCTACGAGTGCAACCATTTAAACATAAATACAAATGTGTAATTATGCAGGTTCTATTAAGCATGTGTTGAAGCCACGAAGAAATCGCTATAATCTCCAACTTGACACTGCATCCGGTGTTGTGTTATTGGCGGGGAAACCTGGCGTCCCACCGCCGCAAATCTTTCGGCTCGTAAGTCTGTAAAATTCATCAAAATTGAACTGAAAAAAAGTACTACTGAACACGGATATAACACCAACTAATAGTAGTATCATGTGTAATCACTAAGAGTAGCATACTCAGTAATTTTATCTTAGATTGAACATAACTTGTCTGAAAGTTGTGATGGACTACTAGTAACGTTATTAGTTGGTAACTGTTACTTTTAAAATCGGATGTTAGTAACGTTAAACTAATGAGGAACATGAACGTTGTGACAAAAAGGGAATCAACGCCACATATAAGTCAAAAGTGGAACAAAACTGAACAAAAGCAAACGTTATAACTGGAAACCAAACGTAAAATGAAAAAAAAACGGAGTAAAAAATTATTCGGCGAACTGGTTTACCCAGCACGGTCTTAACCTTGATCCTGACGATTTGAATCTGAAAGAAAAACAAGAAGTACAAGTTTTTGTCTTACACCACCTAAATTTGAAATAGAAATCAAAGCTGTCTGATTTCGTTCACCAAAGTCGTATAGACTACAACACAACTGTAACACTCGGGTCTCGAGCCAATCTGATATACTATAATGCATGACAGAATAGCGTCTTTTTGTTTATGGTCGCCATCTTTTCATGCACATGATATACTAGTAGCAGCATGGAGGTAGAAAAAGAGACTACCTCCATGGTAGTAGTAAGCGTCCCGGCCGGACGAGTATGAAAATATAGCTGTTGATACATCATTGCGTTGTAAACAGGTTGGGCCTGGACACGTTGTGAGGACGCATGATTTGTATTTACTGTTCAGGAGCCAAGACTAAACTTACGGTCAGTTATCGGTACAAAAAAATTGTTATTCCAAAAAATTGTTATTCCAACGAGGCTATATATAACGTCATTGCAAAAGGAAATCAGCGCTACAGAACAAAGTACAAGTCAGAAAACTAACAAAACTCGAAACACAAACGGTATAATTAAAATACTTAACCCCTAGCCTTGCTTTTTTTTTTGCTACAGCCGTAATACTCAGATCTCCCGCCTAGCGGATATAATGCATGACGGGATAGCGTCGTTTTGTTTATGGCCGCCATATTTTTCTACCCCGGTACTAGTACTAGCGTCCTGAGTATGTATGAGAATAGCCGAAAAGTGACATTTGTATAGCGTGAGGGTGACACACATCATTATGTTTATGAGGACAAACATTTTGTGGTCGTTGTTGAGGAGCCGGTATCTGCTATCAACTACGCTATCAACAAGACTGTCCGTGTAAGACTTACTCGTAATTACGAGTCACAGTGTCTTCTTCGGGCATTTTTTTTACCGTAGTATAACAGGCCCTTTAGGTGCGTGTCTTCTACCGAGTTTCAAGACTAATAGTAGTATTATTACAGCTCAAAAATGTCCATAGAAGACGCACTCCTGATTACTCCTGATTTAGAATTTTGCTTCAAGCCAGGGGCGTTGTTCGAACCCAATTTTGATTTCAAATCCGGTTCAATCGAAAATTGGTTGCACTCGTAGTACAACTGGTCAATTTCCCATGCGACAAATGTCGACTAAAATGGTCCAATTCCCGTTTGTGTAATGTGGTGAAGTTCCCGTCTTCTATATCGGCCGTGAAGTTCCCGTACGGCGTTCGCGGACGGACATTGTTTGCCAATGCTGGTGAATTTCAAGTACGCGAAAATGAAGACTAAAATGGTCCAATTCCCGTTCGTGTAATATGGTGAAATTCCCGTCTGTATATCGGCCTCAAAACACGTGCGCGCACGGTCAGCCCTTAGTGGTGAAGTTCCCGTACGGGACTCACCATTTTTAGGTGGAGAGATTCCCGTAAGCGGGAAATTCTCCACCTCCGTGGCAGCCCTGAGTGGTGAAGTTCCCGCACGGGACTCGGCACTGCTAGGTGGAGAGATTCCCGTACGCGGGAATTTCTCCCCCTCTGTGGCACAGTTCCCGCACGGGAAACTCTCCAATTCCCGTAACCCAGCTTAGCTCGACGATGATATTATTTGGTCAAGTATTGACAAATTATATTTTGTCACTAGCGACTGGCGATTGCCAAGGAGTTTGGCGATAAGGCAGCAGAGAGACGAGCCTACAGTAACCTAGGCAACGCACACATCTTCCTGGGAGAGTTTGAAACTGCAGCAGAATATTACAAGTACGTCTTAAACATCATGTTGTAAATGCTGCAAATAAGATGACTTTCTGGGGCTTCTGCAGTTCTAGTATAGATCAGTAGAGGGAGCGTCTGATCAGAGTGCTACATGTGTGTAGTAGATACCACAGGTTGTCATTAAAAGCAAGGTATGTAGGGTATGAAACAGTTTTTCATACCCTACATACCTTGCTTATACCAAACAACATTGGCTACAGGTGTCTTCTACGTAACATGTTTTTGGAAATGGACATTTCTTGTTGCTATATTAGAAGTGTCAAGATCATTTCCTCTAGAAGGAACCTCAAACAACATTATCAAGACTGGTACATTTTGAACTTGAAGTAGTACAGTATATAAACTTGGAAGTTTAGTCATTCAGCTTTTAGAGATGTGCAAATTCTAGAGATATCTTGATAGTGTGGTAAAATGGAGAAAGTTAGCATATCATTTTGTCAGATATGAGACTTCTGAACTAAATCCATAAAACATACATGCCTCCTGGCCAATATGAATATTGATGCATACCTAAATGTCTGGGCAAGATTGTCTGGCTATGAAATGGCCTACCAATTCCTCTGGGTTTTAAAAAAGTAAAAAAAGTTTAACTCTTGAGTTCTTATCCGCTCTTTCCTGAGATGAATTTCCCTTTTGCTCCTGTAACATCAAAAGCATTTGTATCTGAATAGTTTTCTCAGGGGTCTAGATATAATAGGATATTAGAGTTTTTCTTGTATGTTATTTCATAGATAACACTTCAGTTTGAAATAGACGTTTTAAACATTAAAACCTAAATGATAGCTAAGTAACAGATCAGGCATATTGTACAGTACAGAGGAACCTCCATCTGACAAGTCCAATCTATTCAGGAGAACTTTTTCCTGCAGGAAAACGTTACAGATTGCCACCCAGCTGGGAGACAGGGCCATCGAGGCCCAGGCCTGCTACTCCCTGGGGAACACCTACACTTTACTGAGGGACTACGAGAAGGCAGTGGAATATCATCTACGGCATCTACAGATAGCACAGGATCTGGGAGACAGGTAAGAGCAGATTTCACTTTTTACTCTTCTTACCTGAGTATAGAGGTTTTGTATTCGGTGTGTCTGTTTGTTTGTTTGCCTGCTTGTGTTTCCATAGCTATTTCCACATGCTAGGCAAAACACTGACAGGATGTTAGGTCAAAGGTCCCAGAAAAGGCTAGCCCATTTCTGTCTTCAGCAGACTTACAGTATGACATTAAATGTTGTAGTAGCCCTGTAGCTTTGTGGAGTAAATCTAAGGCCACACCAAGTAAATTTTATGGATGACGTCCGCGCGCGCATTGATTTTGGCCTGTTCCTAGAAAAAAAAACAAGAAATTCCGCTTCCTGTAACTATGATCAAAGAGTCACGACAGTGCCGCAAATCGTTAGATTGACGTGAACCCCGTAACGCGAAATGGGTAAAGAGCACATGCTTTGTTTCTGCAGGCCTGCAAAAATGTGATGAAAGAAACAGGACAGGACGACAACTGCTGTTCCACCTGATTTATTGCTATTTTGATGATGAATAAAAGACTTCTTGCTTGTTACACTGTGTCACCTCATTCAATTTGTGTCCTAACATTTGTCGTCTTTTAGTATATTTCTAATCTAGGCATCTTGTTTTTCAGGGCCCTTCTTGTTTTTTTTTTCGCCCTCTCGCATTAGATTTATGGTCTCCAAAGTACGTCATCCATAAAATTTACTTGGTGTGGCCTAAATATGTGATGGGAGAAAGACACTGATACAGATAGTGATAATTGGTGCGTGTGCATTTGAAAGTACATTCATGTATAGATTTACATGATGTATAGTTTATATATACCACTACTCACAGATACCTTTTTTATTAGCTTTGATGTTACTGTGTGAGATTGGCTTTGGGTACAAGCTTGAAAAACCTGGGAAATTCTTTCCTTTATTTTGCTAAATCGTCCTTCACATTTTCCTTCCTAATAGCCTAAGGCAAGAACCCACATGTACATGTACATGGTGGAAATTTACCTTGCAAATAGATGATATTCCATACAATTTAGCCCTAGGCTGATGAATTATATTATATATAGGTGGTTCTGCAGCACTGTTTCCATGGAAATGTAACCTACCTGCTGCTGAAAAGCGTCATTTGGATGCCCTCCAGCCGTATTCTTGTTAGTCACCTCTAATTGTACCAAACCCTTTTTACATCTCGGAATAATCTTTTCTACACAAGGTGAAGGTGGTATTCATTGCAGATTCAAGCATCATAATGATGCGTACACTATTGAAAAAATAGTTGACTGTGATATGATATATTGGTAATTCACTTAAGTTTAAAAGGACTTAAATTTATTTTAGGGCACGGTAGGTACACCCTGACAGAAAATTTATAAAATACAATTGTGATAATTTGATGGTGGTGAATTCACCACTAAAGTTGTGAACATAAGACCACTGCAAAGATTTGTGGTGATATTTGCATGGAAAATGTTCCTGACATAGCTGTCTTGTATTCCAACCAGATGAGCCACTTCATGTAAGACAAACAAGATAACAGCTTACATGTACATGTAGCTTGTTTCCCAATGCCTATACTGGTACAACAACATGTACAAAGTCATGTACTTACATTCTGTACATGTACATGTATTGGTAGTACTCCCCAGTAATGCTCTTGAACTAGGGGGTCAATGACCTTTAAGTGGAATCTGTTCTCTGTAGTCAGTGGGAGATACGTCATCACTTAGCTTCAAGCAACACTTAAACTAGCACACAGGCGCAGCGCAAATGTGCAGGGAGGAGCAACATTTGTACGTGTGCCCTTAGCCGTGTGTCGCAGCGAAGGACAGTTTTGCAGAGTCAACATTCTGCAATCTCAATTCTTGATGAAGAAAACAGGTGAGCTTTGTTGACGTAAGATGTCATAGTTTGAAAGGAACACTGGGGATCAGCTGTTGGCTGTGGATGTGTCATTCTCTGTTTTAATGACTAGTAACCAGTCTGACCTTTTGTCAGCAGCCTTGGGAGGCTAGGGTTAGGTAACTGGACTGTCACAGAATGAAAACAAGGCTGACATGTCCTGGAGTCAAGATGTTAGCTGTAGCATAACAGGCAGGAAGAATTGTGAGGGTGGTATGTTATTGATTTTGCTGTGTACATGTTTATGTAGTGAAAGTGTGACGACATGTCTGTGTCGTAGGGAATTCGGTGGCTATCTCAGTCTGTGAAAAACAGTGGAGTTCCTTGTTTTTCTGTTTATTCATGTATTTTCATAACATATGTTTACAAAGCAATTCTGACTTTGCAAATTGCTTTTGAAAACATAACAGACAGATGATGAATTTTTGTGGACTTGTTTCAAAATGTAGGTCCCATCCACTAGGTACATTTTTGTTTGTAACCATGCTTGTATTTTGACTAGTAATTTTTGTCAATCAGATATTTCAGTTTTTCTTTTGCACATTTCATTGTATCGGCCTCTGGTTAGAGACTAGGTGTTTTTTAATGGTCTGACTCTAAATCCTGCTTTGGTTTGATACATAAATGTCCCATAAGAATTGTCTATGAGTATCGTTTACCTGGATGTCTAACCTTCATCAGCGTAGCCCATTAGTAGTCATTCAAGTTCTGAAAAGTAATTGACCCTCTTGTCTTCAATGTACGTCATGTTTTTCGCATGACGCACATTGAAGAAAAGAAAATTTTTTTCTACAGATGTTTGTTGGAAATTTGAGTCATATCATTTAGTTTTCCTGTTATGACATATACAGATCATCAAGTTCTGAACATCTTGTAGCACATTGTGTTGATAGACTACGAAATGAAGAAAAGCAAAAGGCCAACTTACCACATTCATTTGCAAAACTGGAAATAGAAATGCAAGTGCCACTGTGTGGGCAATGCTGTAGTGTCCTCTTCAGTCCCAAAATGTAGATTACCACTTGCACCACAAAGACTCAGTCAGCCCCATTACCGATAAAGAAAGTACTATCTGAATATCAGAAAATCTTCTCTCTGTGAGATGGAGCCATCAAGGCAGTCTGTAGGTAAAGGTTTTACTGCCATTCTTATCCTTTTCCCCCAAAACACACATAAAGATGGTCCTTTGTGGGAAGTAACATGTCAGCATAGATCATATGCTATCTGCAAAACACACATGGCCAGTGGCGGACAGATACGGTGTTATTGGCAGACATCCTTACATTTTAAACAGAACTGTAGCACAGTGTGTCAAATACAATGTATGAACTTCAAGGTTATTGTCACTGCCATTACAGTCATTTGTTCATAATATGTGTGGTTCTTTACACACACACACACACACACACACACACACACACACACACACATGCACGCACACACACAAACACATGCAAACACACTCACCCTTCTCATAAACAATGTACCATCCATCCTCTGTGACTATCTTATATTCTGGCCCATTGATGTCATAATTAGATGCAGACCCCAGGGCTAGACTTGCAACACCATGAGACGCGGGCAGTGCTTTTAACAGGTGATTTCATGAAGGCTCGTTAGATGAAAGGAGTTACCAAATGTCCAGAGAAATATTACATTTTCTAGCCATGGGCTGCACTGCCATTGCTGAAGATTGTTGAAATGGGAAGGTTTAGTCCTACTAGAGTACATGTAGATGGCTACATGAGACTGTGAGCTGGACTGTATGCAGAGATAAAAGGTACCAACATTCTAGTTCCATGTTTTGCAATATTGTAGCTCTTTGTTTGGGGTAATGGCTACAGACTGAAATCACAGTTGGCTACTTGTATGTTGGTTCAAGCTAAGTCACTTTATGGCTATTATACGGGCTTTGCTTTCTGTTTTTACTAGTTGTTGTTGTTTACTAAATTACAGGTCTTCTAGAATATGATAATAAAATTCCTATATTATCACCATGGCAAAATCAAGAAAACTAGTTTGAAGGGAGTTGCAGTAGCTGATGGCTTTTCTGTGGCTGTAGCATTCTAGAAGGACGTATATGTACATGTAAATATTGATGGAAGATGCATATTTTATTGAAGAAAATATGTATGATTCAAACCTGTTTGCTGAAATCTAGGACATGTGTGAATCACTAATTGTATGTACAATGTTGAAAGGTACAATGTACATAAAGTGGTATAAACCTATTAAACTGAACGGAACAGATAACATTCTATATTAGATACTGGAAGTAGAGAGCACGCATCTTAATTTCACTGTTTTTATTTGATGTATGTCTGAATATATTGTTTTGTAGTAATACAGTAATCAACTTAGGGTATATGTATTCAAGACCTAAATTGCATGATTGAGAATAACAACAAGACATACATGTACCTTCATGAAAAATAATGAGTTTTTCTGAATTTTCTTGTTTTATCTATAATTACTGTGTATTTCTCTCTGATTCTGTATGCATTTTTCCACAGGCTCCCATAAGACAACAGACTTTCATTTAGCAGGAAATTGAAAACAGGAAATGAGCTAACCTTTTCTGGAGCCTTTCTGAGACCTTTGACCTAATTTCTTGTCAGTGCAACCCACCCCACCCCACCGTGCTTAGCATGTGGAAATAACTATGAAAGCAGACACACTAACAAACACCCTAAGAACAAAACCTCCAAACAGGCAAGTAACAAAAACTAGGAAGGAGAGAAATGGCTGCTTGAAGTTGAATCACTCATTTTCCCCTGGGTGGTTTTTCAGATGTCTTTCCATCGTTTAGGCATTAAGATTAGGTAACAGGTGCTTTGTCTGTTCCTTTTTTTCTTTTTATGTAAGGCCTAGGGAAAAATGTTTCCTGTTTCACGACCAACCCTAGAAAAAAAACAGTGTCAACCCTAGCCTTTTTTGGGGGTGAACTCCAGCAACAGACATAAATTTTCTGTATAATGTCCTTGAGCTGATCAACCTTTTCTAGCACCATGATCTGAGTAGAGTTTTCCAACATTGATATTGAAAGTGTCCTCATGCAAGATTTCCTTTGTTAAACTGTATTGTATAAGGTGGATCACTAGCTACATATATATAGAGATACCAGCAAGTTTTTTAAAAAATATAGAAAAAAGATAATCCCTACCTACTGAGCCTAATTTTTTTCAGGACTGAAACAGGAAACACAACATTTTTTTTCCTAGGCCTAATAAGTCAATTGTCATATTAAAGATACCAAAATTGCAGAGCTGATGGCAATCAATGTCACCCCTAAACTGTTATGATCACAGGGTATGTAGGTATAATGACAGTTAATAGTGCAATTATTACCACTGACTGGAAGGTACTGCATTGGCATTAAGGGGTAGGTAGGTTCTGCTAGAATTACTTTGCTGTATTCCGTTTCTGAACATGATATAAAATCATCAATGAATTTCTCTTTGTAATAATGTATAGGGCTTTTGTTGTTTTCTATGATTTTCAGGGATTCAGAGTCTATAAGTTTGTCTGTAAATGATATAATTGATATTGATATTGATAGAACAGCTGTGTATGATAGAACAGCCCCAGTTAGTTGATATTGGAGCAAACTTAAAGTGTTGTGGATGGGGTGTTTTTCATAATTGCCACTGCCAGATGTTCTGAAGATGTCACTCATGATTCTAAAGGTTTCTTTATTTAGCTTACCAGTATGTCTGCTCTGTATACCTGGTATCCATGCCCTACCAGTAACTAACAGAGCAAAACAGCACACATGCAAAAGGGAATGAAATACATGTATACAATGCATATTCAGGGCTCAAAATGCTTTTTCTGCATGCCTGCACTGTTGCATGTACATGTAACTCTGAAAATTACCTGCACCTGTCCAGATGAATTTTACCTGCAGAATTTTGAAAGTAGGGATCATGCTAAAACTGTTCAAAGCCATTGATATTATTTCTTCTTTACTTCATAGGTGGTAACAGTCAATGTAGCAAATAAAAATCCATATACACCTACATGTATAAACCCCATACATGGACCAGTGCAGGTTAGGTGCAGGTAGACATCAGAAATACCTGCACGACTCCAAGTTTATGTATACTAAGCTGCATATTCAGGTGGTATTTCTCTGATATTTCTACCGCTCTGATTCCATATTTAGGGGTTACTTGGTCCATTGATTCCTTTGAATGTTGATAGAAGTGTGCTTGTGTTGCAGGGTTGGAGAGGGCCGAGCCTGCTGGTCGCTGGGCAATGCACACACGGCGCTAGGCAACCACGAGAAGGCCTTACACTTTGCTCAACGACACCTCGAGATCTCAAGAGAGGTAAGTCAGTCAATCATAGAATTACAAATGCATGGCAGTCTTATTTCACATAATAAAGTTACTGACAGATGATATAGAATTTCTGCAAACTGTGAGGAGGAAGAAAAATTGGTATCCAGAATCACTTTTAACAATGTTAAAATAACAACTTTAGAAAATGTTTTTTTCTTTCTGTTGTGTTAGTTACAAATGTACTTCCAGGAAGTACTCCTGGTATGAAATCTGAGCTCTATAGATCATCAATAAGCTTTAATTTCCTACTCAGGAAGTGGGCATTGTTCATGTGCATGCTACCAATGTATTGTTCAGCCAACAATGCTGCTGCAATTGTAAAATCGTTATACATTGTCATGAGAGAAATTATAGGTAATACAAGAACAATTCTACTGCATTTACTTCCTGTGTTACAGGCATTCCCACATAACTGATTACAATAATTGCGTGTTATGATATAATGAATAGGCACTTAAAGCGAAAATAGAACAATTAAGACATGATGTCAACATCCTGAGAATTTGATTGCTAAACGCAGCTTTCTCTCTTCTGTAGTCCATCTGCGGTAGTTGACATCTCTCACTACTTTATTTCCTCTGAACGGCGCTGCATTATTTTAGGTTGGTGACAAAGCAGGGGAGCTCAAGGCTCACATGAACGTCTGCGACCTGCGTACTGTGCTCGGGATCGCACAGACCGTGGTCGAACTTACGCGAGGCATCCCCGTCTTCCACTGCCATGTTAGTCAGGATCCGGTATCTGCATGCGTATACAGGCATGAGACATCCTAACCCTAACCACTAAAGATGGGACCTGTCATATATTCATCAGTGTCTTGTTGCCACATTAACAATGAAGGACATTCTCTACCATCCAACAGAAAGCATTAAATTTTGTGCTTTCCTTTGTCCTGCAAAATTGGCTATATCAGGAGGAGTATGAAAAGAATTACTGAATGGACACAAGGTAAAAAGGGTCAAATTTGCAGTTGAATCTATATATAGAATCGTGGGGTTTGCTGTCCAAAAAAATTTGCTAGTTCCTCAGTTGATGTGAGTCCAAAGCACTGACATGGCACACCAGTAAAAAGTCATTGTGACATATTTCATACAACAGGAAAACTGCTGAAGACTCTCTTCTATTATCCTGGGTGCTATCCTGTGTAGTTTATGGGAGCCTATGTAAACTACATAGGATGACACCCAAGTTAGTCTTGTATTCCAACTTGCATCTGAAATATGAAATATGACTTCTCCATCTCGCTATTTCCAAAGCTTGCTATTATCTAACTTCACATGCTTGAAGCACTTGCATAATACCTGCTTGAACTCCCTTTAACCCACTGGTATAAAATGCTAGTTGAAAGAAGTACATGTATATCATTTCAAAAATCTAGGGACTCACATCAATGTATAAAACCCCTGCAAGGCCCTGAAAACCTCAGGAAACAGAAGACCTGAGTGTGATGTTGGTCGCTGATGCCTGTCAAAATCATGTAGACTAGAGAGAGTCACATCCTAACCCTTGATGCATCTCTTTTTCTCAACAACAGCCTAACATATCACCTGCAACAACAACAGTTACACAATACTCGTATGTGCTGTAATGATGAATGAATGTGTGGTGCTTGCTACAAATATCATCGAATCCCAAAATGCTTCATTTACTAAATTTGTATTGAGCTATCTTTAGACTTGCTACATGTTTTACTAAACTGTTTGCTGGCCTTTTGAACGATTCTTAAAATATCAAAATTATGGACATTGAGCTATTATTAGTCTATACCCTATTCCACAGTGTGGTGCACATGGCCTTTTTGATAATTCCGAAAATACCAAAATTACAAATATGCCGTACTTCAGTTATTAAAGTATGCAAATTGAGCTATTATTAGTCCATATCCCACTCCACTGTGTGGTGGCCTTTTGAACCATTCCGAAAATATGATATGTCAAGTTTAAATTTACATACACCATACACGTGTGGTACTAAACATAGACCACTCTATAGCTATTGACACTTGTAGCAATTGTCACGCAATTGTTTTTGCTATACAGGAGTTGCCAGTGCCCTGAGTCATAATGTATACATACTTCTTGTATCTCAAGATGGTAATCTGAAACATGGCACGTTGAAATGTTGTTATTATTTGCAACCTTCCATACATGTTGGTTCTGAAAATCCCCTTGATAGCAGCACTACATATACTCAACATCTAATGGAGCTGATATTCAAAGTTTTAATTCTACTTTCCTGAATATATGCTCATCGTCAAACAAGTATGCTAGTAGCATTCATAGATGCCATCCCTTCCAAGAAAAACGGAAATGCGGCAATTGACACCTAAGATCAGACCCTTCTGTTGTAAACACCTTTCCAACTTGCATTGATGACATTTTGTAAAGTGGATTGGTTATGTGCTGAGCTAACATTTTTACATAAAAACTTTAAACAAAGAGTTTTGACATTAGAAGCCAAGGACTATAATATGCCACATTGTGTTGATCACATTTTCTGGCCTTTCCCATAAAGCAAAGTTTGAAAAACAGATGCTGAATTAAATTGATGGCATTTAGTAAAAAGAAAAAGATTTGTTAAAATTTAAATGCTAAGATTTTACAGCTGTAAGCCAGAAGTTTACTGATCAAACATGTATCCATGTAATAAAGGCTACTTTTCCTTATGTAGTCATAACTTTTTGCACACTATTTGTTTGAAATCTAATAAACATGAATCTTTTGTATGAAACAGGTATTTATACTTACCATAAAATAAGCCATGAGGCATAACTGAAAGTCTAACACCCTTCCCTATGCTGATACAAAACATAGTCCAGATGAATTGCAGTGTTATCCTGCCAATGTTGTCCTTGAGACCTACTTAACTCTCAACTCTCACAACCATCTAAGTGGCTTTTAGTGGAAATTCCCATCATTGCTAATGTAGCGGTGGGACCTTTAGGGCTGGTATTTAGAGGATTAGATGGGTATTCTCATAACAAAGTGATTGTATGCAAATGCAGGTTTTGTACTACCTTGCCACAGGGAAAAACCTATTATCAGCAGCCTGGTATAATTGGTAATATCAATTTCATCTTGCTACCCATTTCACAAGGGGCTCGAAAAGAGAGGGGATCCCTGAAACACCATCATTCTACAGCCTTTCCTGTACAAATTATGATACTCCGTATCTACATTTTTCTGAGAGCAAGTTTTTAGGACAAAATCCAGGATTGAGACGTGCGCAGTGCCAACTCCTGTATGGTGATGCAGAATGATGTTTACATAACAGGGACACGTGTAGGGATGATGCATTGTTCATCTCCTGTAGGCACAAGACGTTTAGGGGTGATGCATTGTTTAATCTCCTGCAGGTACAAGACAAGACAGGAGAGGTGACGGCTCAGATGAATGTGAATGACCTGCGGACAGTACTGGGCATCACACAGGACCATAACCAGTCTGCACACACCAGTTCCTCCCACCTGGCCAGTAATGGTCCCAGCGTCTCACTACTACCTGACTCTGCCATAGCCTCTGTCAACTCCAGTATCATCAGCACACAGAGCAAAGGTCAGTACTGTAGACATACGGGCTGTCTTCTTCAATCTGTACATGGAAAACCACTGCATTTTCATCCTGTATATGTGAGACAATGGAAAATGTGTACTCCTACTCCTAGTTGTGTTATCTCCAGAGCTTTGACCAAACACAGAAAGCCTCATCGTGTTTCATTCCAAATAGTAATTGTGTGAAATTTTATACAGTGTTCTCATAGTTTAGGAACATGTCTTATCTGTTTTCAACACTGTTATATATATAGTATTAGTAGAATAACAGCTCTACAGGCAAAGTAGGTGAATTCTCAGTTGGGGTCAGACAATATCTGAAATGGAAACTTTCCAAATACGGCTATGGACCAGTGCAACCTTTCACCCAATTTTTCTGGCAAAATACATTTTCTCGTCTGATGTATATACCTGGGAGGTTTGAAAAGAGAGGTTGGAGTATTCTTCATTGGCCAAAAGCTTGCTTGTTTAACTAGGTTTCACGAGAAGTATTTTCCTTTGTAATTTGTTTGATATTAATGCCTCAATACGATCTAGCCTATAGTACAATAGCTGCAGATATTAATGCCTCAATAAGATCTAGCCTGTAGTACAATAGCTGCAGATATCAGAATATATGTTTGGACGTACACATACAGATGGAAGTTTTCTGATTGAGTGGCCCCAGATAATGAACTTGGTCCGTGCTGGGCAGCCTAATTACATGTATGTCTCGTTTACCTCCTCCTAATATGGCAAAAGACTCGGAAGTACACATCAGGCATTGACCATGAGAATACCCGGTATTATATTACTCTACAGGAAGTTAAAATAGAAGCTTGTGGTGTAAGAATAGCACGGATGTAGGCATGTTAATTTGCAAGCCTTTAGTCAAGGAGGTCCCGGACTTGTGCGTATACAAACAGGAAACGGGTTACGTGTACAACAGGTATCAGGCGAGACTGAGCACATAATCACTCATTGGTCAGGCCCAGTCAGACGTGATGGACAAGGTTTGATTCTGACGTCTTCAGAGGGTGGTCGGAGAAAATCAAGGTCACTTGGGACGGCAACAAGTGATGTACGTCAGATCATCGCCGGTGACTTTTCCTTTTACAGCCATGCCCTGTTGTTAAAGGGCACGTTGCCTCTCCTTTTACAGCATGATCATGTTGCTAAATACAGCTGTTTAGTCATGATGGTGTTTTGAAGTTGCAAGTCAGTTTGTATATAAGAGGACGAACTAAACATCATGAAAAACAATTCTTGAGACACTATCCTACCTTCAGCTGAGTCTACCACAACTTGCTATTTGCTTCAGGTGGGTTTTTCCCTTTGCTTTTTAGATTGCTCTTGCTCGAGATTCTTTAATTTTAGATTGATGGACCCATTTCCGATTGCCATTCCATCTCAGACCTGCTTCTTTCAATTTTGAGAAAATACAACAGAGGGCCGATGTGATGAATTGTATTAACCCAAGATGCTTCTGATTGATGTTGAAGACACTCGGGTTTCATGTTGTTGTAAAGTCCTTTCAAACTCAATTATGCCGAGCTCCAATCTCAGGTCTCCTGGCAATTGTTAATTACAGCATGGGTTTGATTGATGGGAAGAAGAGGACTGGGATTGTTTTGACGACTTTGACAAATGGATGGTTGGCTGGGTCTGGTACCAGCAATCATCCGAACATTCTGTCTGGGTCGCTACAGGTCACAGATAAGCATTATAGATGGTACCACAAGGAGTCTTATTTCTGTAAGACATAGTCAGCCTGTGTACATACTTCAGTTACTGTATCGACACATAGTAATTCATCATCAATCAGCATAACAGTCAGAAGCTGCCTTGACATCCAAGTTAACTCTCAACCTGCCGAGCTAGCATCGTAGCCACAAATTTTGTACATCTTACAGGTAAGGCAGTGAGGGGAATGTTCGCCCTTGACACACATGCACATGCACATGTGTCGAAGACAATTTACTGACTGCACGTCATGTATTAAACATGACTGTCTGTGCACAGAAGTTGGCATGAGATCGGGTGCTCCAATGCATATGTCTTATGTCTAGTTCAGTGACCTTGTTGCATAGGATGCAAGTAGGTATGGTGTTTCTTTAGTGTTTGTAGGAAATACTAACTGCTTTGTAGTAAATACTACTGCTTTGTAGCATATACTGCTTCTTTGAAGTAAGTACTGCTGCTTTTCCACAATGCATGCTGTTTAGGTAGAAATATTTAGAGTAATGTTACTATTGTGTGCATTCAGTACTGTTGATTACACCTCATTCATGTTGTAGTAGCTGGCCCCATTTCTTTTGATAATGATGTCAAAAGGTTGGTACTGACGTCATGGCCTGCAGTCCCCATGTGTCAGTAGTATCTCATCATCAACTCTTCCTATTGATGTTTGGATTGACCATTTCAGATGATTCAATTTCTGACCGCCGGCAGTGTGTGTCTGTATTGTAAACATGACGTGATGCTGCATTAGAGAATAGGCTCTGTGTAGATGCCTGCATCTAGTGTCCCTTTGGAAACCTTTTCAAGCATAAAACCTTCTCATCTTTCCTGATGAGCTGGTCATGTTGACCCATCGTTAGTGCTTCTAAAAACGATTCTTCATTTGAAGCAAGGTAAGATGACTTTTGGTACTCCGTTCTATCAAGCTGATCATATTCCTCCCTTTTCATGGTGCTAAAAACCTTCCCTTTTTATGGTGCTGAAAAGCTTTCCCTTTCCATGGTACTGAAAAATTTTCCCTTCTCATGGTACTGAAAGGCTTCCCCTTTTCATGGTACTTAAAAGCTTTCCCCTTTCCATGTTATTGACAATTTTCCCATTTCATGGTACTGAAAAGCTTTCCCTTTCCATGGTACTGAAAATTTTTCCCTTTTCATGGTACTGAAAGGCTTGCCCTTTCCATCGTACTGCATAGCCTTCCCTTTCTATGGTGATAAAAAGCCTTCCATTTTCACGATGCTGAAAAACCTCCCCTTTCCATGGTGCTGAAAAGCCTTCCCCTTCGTGGTACCGAAAAGCCTACCCTTCCCATGGTGCTGATGTGATTTCCAACATAGTACACTTGAGTATAAGCTTGTTTGGTGCTTATTTTATTAGCTTATTTATAATTATTACATTGTTAGCAGTGGATTCAGAAACTACCCGTATTCCAAATTTGGGAGGCCTTATTTGGAAAAGTAACTAGTGTTGATATCTTTTTCTTTTGCCACTTTTACCATACAACTCTTTGATGTGTTCTTTTTGATGTGTGTTGGTATGGCGGCAAATCACCAGGAAATACAAATAGAAGTGATACATTTCAATGTACATTCTTCACAGATGACTGTTATGTTGTGAGCATCATTTATCACAAACAGGACAGCCTGGAAATGTTCTGCCCTCTGTCTAGTGTGTTGAGAGTTAGGCTGGAGTAGAGTATCATCTGTGTTACTAGTATTTTCATTAATTGAAATATATCGAGATGCCACTCCATCACGGGAAGTATGATGGTAAGTTTGCTTCCTACGTGCAGTTTCATGAAAGAATGCATAGAGCTTAGAAAATCAGTCTGGTTCTGTATTGAGTTGACTGACACTAGTCAGACAGTTGAGAGAAGTTCCGTACAACAGACAGTGCACTGTGATTGTAGTCATTTTCTAGCTGACAGGGTGACACCCCAAACTGTCATTATCTATATTTATGACACCTTTATTTTTTTCCCTCTTAGTTGAAACGTCTTATTATGAAAAACATTTCAGTAATAAAGAAAGGTGACAGCATATACTTCGATGAAGGTTAGACATCCAGGTAATACGATACGCCAAAAAGCAGTTACTCAAGCAACTGGATATGATTTTGAAAACGTCAGACGTTTCAGCTAGTATCCACTAGCTTTCGTCAGACAGCATATACTGATTGACGTCATTTTGTCCACCACCAAAAGTCTGCTTACTAGACTTCTCTGTACAGAGGCATTTGTTAATAGCGTATTAGTGTTGTACACCTCGTATGTCTACGTGCCTACGTGCGTGTCATGTAAGACATTTATAATTTCTAATCCAGCTCAAGGCAGTTTGATGCAGACTGTGAAGTACCCTCTCACTCAGCATGTATCTAGGACACTCCAGTTTTCAAACCTCTTGAGTTAAAGTCAGACCATTTCTAATCTCAATAACAGAATTGTCTCGATATCTTTTCCTTTTCTTTATAATTATTGCTGTATTTTGTTTCCCAGGTTTTGTTTGAAGTCAGGTCACGTCAAAACATACGTGAAAATATACGTGTTTTATCCTGAGCCCTGAAGGGGAAGTTTCAGGAATTATGCAGATGAGTTACTGGAATCAGTGCTGGAAATACCCAGCTGCTCTGCCAACCTTGCACTGATGTCTTGCCTTTTATCACCCAAAGCTTTCTCGTTTTCTGTATCTCTGTCTGTGAGGCTTGCATAACTGCCCTTGGGCATAACACACCAGCTTGGCAGGCACGCAGGGCAGCAGCAGGAGGTTATATTACACTGAACGACCTGTCACATTTAACCAAATTAGTTTTGTTTACCATTGATGTACTGGATGGTTAATACATGGCTATTAATAATTCCTAATGCGGCGTTATGCAACCTCAAGGGTGCAGTGCCTGGCATTACCTTATCTTCTAGGTAAAGCTCTAATTTACTGAAGCATTACCAGTCCTCTAGCAGCCATTCATTGTCTGGCAGTCAGTCTGGAACATACGGAGAAGAAGTGTACTGATACCCGTTTTATTGGCTGTTTTTATTGCTTTATAGCTTAAGGGGGCTGTTAGAGTTAACATTTTATGCCTGTTTCTGAAAGACAGTGGAAGCAATACTGTAATATGATTAGATGATGTGCTTTTCTGTATAATGTGAGTTTCGTAGGTGGGTGTGATTTTGTGATCTTTAGACCCTGACCATTTGTGCTTCTGTACCTTACAGTACGTATGCGCAGAGAGAGTATGGAGAAAATGGACTTAATGGCTCTTTCACCAGATAAGGTAAGACCCTTCCTAACACTCTGTTCTCTGAAATATGTTTGTTTTTTTCAAGGTTCTTGATATTTATATGAATTACATTGTATGTTAACTAAATGCTTTGTAGCTCAATTTATGTCTTTCCAAAATGTGCATGATATGCAAACCAAAAAAATATTATTCTGCGTTAACATTGTTTTTTCAAACATACTGTTTATCTCATTTAGTGCATACAGTCCTTGGTGTAAAAAATCAATATGACAATTTAATTTATGAGTATAAACTATAATACATCAATAGACTAAGCTTACTGCTGCTGGGGCATGGAATACTTTTCCCTCTAACAGAATTGCTGTTTTAGCTTCAATTTAACACATAAGTAATACAACATCACACTGAATATTATTGGTGCGAGTGATTTTATAGTTGTGTGCAAATTTTAGTATTTTTTTCAAACTAGTTTTGAAACAGGAATACCATTAGCAACAGCAACAACAAAGAAGTGCAGATTTAATGATATGAAACTTTTGTTTCAACATCAATTTCTGGACTTTCATTAAATGGTGATTCTCACAGCAAACAGTCTTGCATGTACCTAGCAGACATATGTCTCCTTTTTAACCTGCAAGCACAGGTGTGAAATGTAGGTATTCTGTAAGTGGAACACCGAGTGTCATGTGCAAAACACCTAAGGATCATAGAGCAGTGCTCGGATCAATTTGTTAATTCACTTACGACAGCCCAGTGGCTGTAGATTAGGATCGAAAGCCCTCTAAGGGCAATTACAGCTGCCCTGGGCTCTCCTACAGAGGTGACCTTGGCTATCAGGGCTGTCCATATGCAGCTTGACCTTGTGGGTACCAAGGGTCAGGGTTTAGAACATGTTGCTGGGAAACAGATTGACCATTTCCAATAAGTGATGCATTGGTGTCACTCATAGGTTGTTGTTTTTTTTCCCAGGAAAATTTATTTCCAGGAAAATTTATTTCCAGGAAAATTTTTTTCCAGGAAAATTTTTTTTCCAGGAAAATGTTTCTAGCCGATACCATAAGATGCTGGTAAGATTACACGGGGGTGTGCCCAGATTGATGCCTTTGCCTTGACATTATGTTGGACTAAAGTGTAATCACAAATTGCACTCCATGAAATTTTCACAAATTGCAGTCCATGAAATTTCTTTTTTTTTTACGGAAATATTTCCAATCCACCAATTCACCTCCTTTCCTCTCCTACCAAGAAATGAAATCCCTGCAAAGATGAATGAACTTCATTTTCTCAGGTTTGAGTGTCATCAAATCTCATCAGATACCTTTTTCCTGGAATCCCAAAGTCGAAGTCTTTATTCCAGATCTACCTGTATGTCTTATCTGTTTTGAAGTGTCCTTGATGTCTAATGTTCATGGCATTTGCCTCCCACCGCAAAGTAAATCCACCTAAAGGTTAACTCTCCCCAGTTTGTCAGTTAGGCGATCTGATGTGAGCTTTACAAAGTGATAGTGCTTAGAATGTATTTAGTATCTAGGCCATGTCCCTCGGGCCTCAAGCAGTAAGTGACCTTGCTGCTGCATCATATTGATCAAATTCTATAGATCCAGAAGGCAGAGGCACAAAATCCCATATTTTGACTAGCAATTGGGTGCTATAGCTTTAAGTTTGCTATGACCTTGCACCGTTTGGAAAGATAGCAGCTAAGCTGCAAACTTGAATGCAGATTTGGAGAGTAAACATTCTTGCTGCTTGTAAGAAGATACAGACAAGTGGTTGTCTTTTGAAAAGGCTTTGTGTTTGTCCATCCTTTTGTCTATTATATGCTATAAGCAAGAATTTCCACTGCACTGTACCTTCGAGTTGTCATTGGATTCACCAGCTAAGAGAAAGTAAAGGCAGTTTTTAGCGTATACAAGGTTTATAAGCAACCTTCTTATCTTTCCTGATACAAAACGGGGCAGCGTGAACCCCATTGTAAAACAGATGACCCACCAAACTGGAATGGGTTTGAGTCCACAGAGGATTCGTGACACGGCCGCCATACCTACTGCCAGGTGAGGACGGAGGTATTTGCCCAGCGGGCTATTTTCAGAAATGCTTGTCTTTGCCCTACGTGTGCATCGTGTGTGGCTGTATACTGTGCAGGGACTATAAAAGGAATACCTTTGCCTTTATAATATCAAGTCGTGCGGACATATTTCATTGCATGCTGCGTACGGTTTGATTGAAGAGAAAATCTGGCTACAGACAAATTTCCGGGACAATTAGCAGCCTTCATGTGCGATCCTCTTTGATAATCTTCAAGCATTCAAGAAGTGGTTAAACGTTAATGGGGAGAGTTTCCTGTGCACGGCTGTTACAGGAGAAGGTGCCTTAGGAAATCACAGTGAGTAAATCTGTAAGTACAACAGCTTTGTCTCATTATGTCGGCCATTTTGAGATCATGTCGGGCAGTCCCTATAACTGTCTTGGTCAGTTCGAGTTTCTGTGCATTGTGTTGTGTTGTCTAGAGGAAAACTGGTACTATGGATGTCTATTGATGTCTGTGTGAAGGTACGATTTTGACTTATTCATGAGACAAAGCAATCGTAGAGGATTCAGTTGCTTGTGCTTGTCTATGAGGGACATCTTGCAAACGTTTTGGTCCAGATTGTTTGTCTTACTGTTATGTATCGCTACCAACCAGGTCTTAATAGCCTCACCACTTCAACTGAATAATGGCTGGCAAGGAAACAATGGAGAGAATCAATGCAGTAACATACTAGTATTCAAGTCAAGCATGCAGAAATCAAGTTGTCACGACGGTGCCTTCATAGCTGTCAGAGATGCGAGGCAGAATAAAGCAGTTGAGGAAGATCCATGTCGTGTTGTTTTATTCAAGGATTATTCAAGAGCAGACGAGCGTGAAAATAATTTTCCTATCAATATTTGTAGACAGATAACATTTTCATCAGCTTTTTTGTGTATGAAACAGCCACATATTTTTCTCTTTACATAAGGTTTTACCACCTTATAACAAGGTTTTACCAGTGGTCCTGATAAGGTTATACTGTAATTCACTTCGTCTTGACGGCAGCAAAATTTCACGGTCTGAGGAAAGCTCGAAAATGGACATGTCCACGGGACTTGATGATCACAGAGGGGACGGAGGGCCAAAGACAAATGATTTGATAACGATAATGATAAGTTCACAGTACAAAAGTGACCGTGAAAACTGTGAACATAAAAGTACAGTGAAAAAAATTAAGAATTACAGTATCATGAATGAATGCTGATATCCAGCATACGGCATCCTTAGTGACCCCTTAGGATCATGACCATCACTCCCTGTGGTGCTCATTAAGCTGGAGTGGTGCATTCTGTGGAAGGCCATCAGAGGGTAATGCCTTCTGAAGGCACAGAAAACGAGCTAGTGAGTGCCCATGAAATATAATTGGGTAAATCTATGGGTGAGTGAAGCATGGCACTAAGTTAAACGGTAAGAGGAACAGAAAACCGAGAAGGGTGGAGAAAACTGGTTGTCAGATCATCTGTGGTGCCCCAACGGTCAAGTAAAGGTTAGACATTCAGGTGATAAAAGATGTGCAAAAAAAACAGTGACACTGACGAAAGGTAGTGGATGCTACCTGAAACGTCTGACCGTTTCCAAAATCATATCCAGTTGCTTGAGTAACAGTTTTTTGGCGATTACACTAAGGGATAGATGAGAGAGATTGGTGAGTTGATTTTTCATTCTGCTTCATGTTGTTTGATGAGTGATTATGGTATGTTCCAGTATTCCACCACCAACGGGAGCACAACGACATCGGAGAGCGAGCAGTCGGTGAAACTGAAGGCCAAGCCGCCGCGAGCGAAGGTGCGGTTGAACGGAGCGTCAGAGCCCAGGAAGCAGCCGTCTGCCTCAGGCAGCAGCACAAGTGTCTCCAGTTCTGTGGACATGCAGGATATACAGCTACAGATGCCAGCTGGCTCAAGGGTCAGTACACTTATGATTCCAAAAACTGAACCATGTAAGGGATAAAGATAGACTAAGGGTTGAAGTTTAAGCCATTTTTGGATGATTATCATTCTTGTTAATCAAACATTGCAATCATTTAAAGAGCTATCTGTGATAATCTATATATCAGTATATAAAGTGGTTGGGTGGTCAAGGGTCAGTATCATGACAGATGATGTTAAGGGGTACTGGTCAGTATACATTTAGCTACTGATGTCACGGGGGTCAAGGATCAGTATGGTTACAGATGCTATTGGTGTCAAGGGATATTGCTGCATTATGATAATTTGCTGAAAATTTACATTTTCTGTTTTTGTTCAGAAAAACTCAGAAGACGCACTTGACGAAGGGTTCTTTGACATCCTGACGAGGTTACAGAGCAGAAGGATGGATGACCAGAGATGTGAACTGAAGCCCATCAGTAAAACCCCCTCAATAGCCTCCTCCAGAAGCTCCCAGTCATCCAGAACTACAGCAGAAGGTGGGTCACACTTACAGGCTACTGCCAGTCTGAACTACGTCAAACCTCTCAAACCGGGAAGGTCCCCTACTCTTTTCAATAAGTGTGGTGGGTTCTATAACATGCGTGGGGTGTTGCTGTCCCAAACACTGGACCTCCATTTAACGTCCTATCCAAGGGACGTCCCTAACCGAAGATAGGTACTCATTTCCACCATAGTGAAGTGAGGAAAGTCGTTACAATGTTACATTCTCTATGTGTTGTTACAGACAAGAGCAACATCAACCCACAGTCAGACGAGTTTCTGGACATGGTGGCCGGCGTACAGGGCAGGCGGCTCAACGAACAGAGGGCAGCGCCGCTCGCCGACCTGCCAGGGCTCAACAAGAAGAGCAAGGCTGTGATTGGCCAGCTGCTGGCCACCAATGAGCAAGCTGTTCCAGATGATGACTTCTTCGATATGTTAATGAGATGCCAGGTAGGTGGACACTTTCCTTGTTAATTTCGCTACATGTACATGAACTTCATTTTTAGGTGGAGGAATTTGGATGCAAGCATTGTTGTTACATGTACCTTTTTGCACCCATAGTAGAACCAACATATTAGCAGTGCAAAAAGCAGTCGTCAAAGAACAGATCGTTAAAAACTGATAGGTAAAGCACACCTCAATTTTTCTTCATAAGTCGATTGACCAACCGGAGTGTTGCATGTTTGTCCCCCAGGGTTCCAGAATAGAGGACCAGAGGAGCTCCCCTCCGGTTGCCAATGCCCCCACCGTGCCAGACGAGGACTTCTTCAGCCTCATCCAGAGGATGCAGTCCTCCAGGCTAGAGGAACAGAGATCCACCCTCCCCAACCCCACACCCAGAAAAGACTCAGACACAAAACCTAAAAGCTAAGATGACCCAGGAAAGGTCCACTAGATAATGTGTTGATATGTACAATGCAAACGTTCAGCTCTTACTTTATCAAGAACCTCAAGATTCAGAAATGTTGGTCATTTTACTTTTTAGTCTACCTATCCAAGAAAGACAGTTCTATTACGTCTTTAGATAAAAGGCACAAAAACACCTTTCAGAAGATTTTTCTCGACCAACTTTGAATCTTGACAAAGAAATGGGTATTAGGTTGATACAACATGTAGAGGACCAAATCATTTTTGATAGTATCTATGAGAACGTAGGAGGAATGGAGTAAATGAAGTATGTGTTCTACTTTATAAAAGTAAATGTAGAATATGAGGAACATCACTGGATGCAACATTTGATCCATAGCAACAGCTAGGGAACCTTACAAAACTTTCTTACGATGAGTTAGCTACCATATTGTCACCATGTAAAGTTTGCTGGTTCAAACAGATTCTTGTTATTGAATACTACCATCAACATGATCAAGTTTTCTCGGGAAAGAAAAAACAATGTCTTGCATGGGAACAATAGAAATCATTGTGGACAATTTCTGAAGAAAGGTACTTTCTCGGTACGTGTTGAAGCCAGTCTTTTGAGGGTAACCACCCCATAAGTATTATTAACACACTGATACATACAGGGCAGTACGGAAAGCTGCTAGCCCTCGGCTATTTTCTATCATACATATTTTACAGAAATTGTTAAATATCCTCTAGTATAGCATTGATATGACCAACACAATGCATCTGCTGCTTTCTCACACTCCAGTTACTATCCTTCTTCCTGTTATCTGTTCCCTGTATCAGTAAGTTTCCACCAAATGATGCTGGCTAAATTGGCAGGCATCCAGCCTAATTCTGCCCTTCTTGATCAGTTGCTACTGTCAAAAAGTCTTGCTACATTTCAAGTCTTTTCCTGAAACGTTCATAGATACTAACATTGTAGATAAATCTATAGCAGGTCTAGATTTGAAGCCATAAAGATATGCTTCCTGATTTAAGGTTTCCCTTTATTGTACAGTGTTTGCTAAATGTTTACCTTGATAAGTCAGTACTAAGAACATTTTGTATGGCCCAGTATGTAGATAGATCCTGTACTAACTGTGATGTGAACTATAACATGCCAAAGTATTAAAAGCTCTAGCACTACATGTATAAAGCTACTATTCTGTGAATAGATTTCTTAGATTGTATCATGGTTGCATACTTATTTGCATTGTTTTATTTTAACATTAAAACCAGCCATGCACCATCAGAAGAATATAGTATCTTTCCAAAGCCAGAGTCTACCCATTTTCTTGAACAGATATTTGGTAGGGTTTGCTTGTAGGGGTTTGAATATATCAACCTTAACAGACAAGGTACATGTAACCCTTTATGAGAGAAGATCATATGAGCAACAACAAAAAGTGTTGTCATTCCAGGCCTAGACACCCGGCAACAGTTTACCTTAATTACCGTACATGTGTAACTTCTTGATAACTTCTTCATTATACACTAACAAGTTTGTAAATTACACAGTCTGGATGTAAATATGAGGTTTGTGGACACAAGAAATATTTACTGTTTTATTGAAATGCCACTAACTGTTAATCAATTTGTGTTTTCCTTCAATGTTTTCACTTCAGGCCAGTTAGAAATAGTACATGTTAACAGTTTCTAAGTACTGTTAGGCTTTATGTAGCCACAAACTGCTACCATTTAGCCATACTTCTATTTGGTCATGTCAGACCTGCCATGACCCAAATACATTAGTCATAGCAGGCCAAACCTTAGACAAAATCAATTCTATCATCGCAGACCTGACCATATGAGGTCTCATCTGTATACTTTTGTTCTTCATTGCCATATGTAGCCATAGATGTACATGTAGCCATACTAGGTCACTCAGATAAGTTATTGCAGCTGTGTCGTATGTTTCCTTGCTAAGTAAAAGCAGTCTCTGGTGCCTTTTCTAAAACCCTGGCAAAGAGGGCATACCCACAGGTAAAACCTCTGTACTACTGTGTAAATAGCGTTGGTAAGATGCCTCATGATTTATGTTTTTATCATGCTTTGATTTTAATGATGAATACAATACAAGATAAACACATCATACTGTACTGGTCATCTTGTTTTAATGTGTCTTTATTTGTTTGAAACTTTGTTTATGCATATAAAGTACTAAAATCGGCCTGCAGGTCACTTTTCATTGAGGTCATGAGGGATTATATGGATGACATCCACGCGTGCATTGATTTTCGTCCATGTAAAAGATTCGACCATACTGTAAATCGTACAGAGCAGCTGCAAAGAACTAGAACTGATTCCTAGCTAGTGCGGGAGATCTAGGAAATACTAGAAAGGTAACATGCATAGCAAATGTTTACCTTCGTAGATGGTCTGCTCTGTTAATTCTTACTCCTACAAATTCATACATGTACATATGGTCAGACAGGAGTCTAAATCCCTCCTATAAGATAGGAACTTGCAAAATAATGTAACCCAACACTAGTTACCATGGTGATAGACGTCTGGTTCAGGCCATTGACCTTATTGGTTTGCAGAAGAAGAAACGGAGCAAAAACAATATGTTTCCTTCGGTTACCATAATTACAGCAACTACCGACTGGGAAGGCCATAGGGCTTCCTCTGGAATTCAGAAGGATTATTGGAAATTATCCCCCAGGACATAATCAACGCTTTGGTCGTTCCTGAGCCCGGATAAAAGAAATTGTCTAAGGCGGCAGCTGTGCTAGTGTTCGGGGAGATTGTCTCGATTCTTCGTTAAGGTGATGTATAATCATTGAGTCCTGGTCCAGGTCTTCACGTGCGGTAGTGTTAAAAGGTGCAGCAGATCAGGTTTAGAACACGTTGTGCTCAGACGGACGGAGGGTGCTATCCAGCTACCGCCCACAAAATGCAGAGTCGTCCGGGAACGGGGGGCGGCAGCTTCCCGAAACCCTTGCAGTGCCGAAACTGGCCGCTCTCCGCGACTACTGGGAACCGCGGTGTCGAGAACTACTACACTCGGGCCGGCGAGGGCGGGGACACCGAGCACACCTACGGCAACCAGGAAGAGGGAGACCCGGACAAACCGTGCAGCTCGCGCGGTCGGGTAGGAGACGCACCTCCATCCCCTGGTGAGTTTTAACACCTCATCGTGCTTAGCAATATACGAGAATCCATGAACACACACGACAATATTCGGCATTATCTAGTGAATGAGTGAACTTTATTGACAGTTGTACATGGTACAATGTATGGTAACGATGACAATGTGATCAATACAATCAAGTCTATTCTAAGAGACTACTAGTTGACATCCTTCCCAAACTTTTCGGCGTATAGGATGGTGCCTATCTTTGTATAGCCCTTTGGCCACACAGTTGTGAAAGCACTACAGCAGGGAGGCTAGTCCTCTGGTAGTGGTGTGCGTTCAACTATCACGCTACATGTTGAGTGCTGAGTAAACAAAGAAAGCAGTATGTACCATTTTTGTTGAAGTCCTTGGTATATAACTCGACTTGGCTTAATTTCCCGATGCAAAGCGAACACTTAACACGTAGAATGTGGGGTCGTGTGGCGTAACGGCAGAGTGCTCGACTCGGAGGTCTCGGGTTCGAGTCCAGGACATGCCACCGGTCTTGTGCCCCTTGGAAAGGCACTTAAAACGATTTTCCTCAGTTAACTCAAGTGAAAATGAGTATTTTCTGTCCTGTATTTGTTTCTATGTGTGGGACACAACACCGGCAACAGCTGCTTTTGTCCCACGTGTATTGTATTGTTACATGTACAATTTCAATAAATCAAATCAAACCAGAACCGAAATATCTCCCTTCATATCGAGACTAAGAATCCACAAAGAAAGTTTGGAAGTTCCTTATATCACGATGAGTCCTCTGGTGTTCACAGGGCCTCTGATACCGAGTTGTCACCTGAAGCAGTGCCTTGTCGGCACCTTGGTCGTGTCGGCTGTGGTCCTGGCGTCCGTGGCGCTGGTCATCTCCACCCGGCGTGCTGGACACAACACTGTGGTCATCCATGTCAACAACTCGGTAAGGTACTAGTGATGAGGGGGTTTGTAAGGCTTTGAAATGCTTTAAACATAGATGTTGCGTCTGTATGATGGACAAAATATGTCATTTCGCATCATAAGGCGCAGGGGTGAATTTATATACGTCCTATGGCTTTTTTTTGCACAATTCTTAGCAAGAGCCAACAACCTTTTCACCAAAGGCAGTACGGCTAAGTTCTGTTCGACACACCCACGTCTGGTCGGAGAATGACGTAAAATGATATATAGCATATAAGAAAACAGCGGGGACAATAACAACCAGGCTTTCAGCACCATACGCATGTCGCTTGGAATACCGAAAAAAACTTTTACTTTAGAACTGTCCTTCACAACAGCGAGATGGAAAACATCAAAGAGCTCATGTGATATTGTTTTCTTTTCCTTACTTGCTTCCTCCGCTATGCAGTCTGGGATTGGTGACGTAGCCATGCACCAGAAGGATGACCTACATGAGGCAACTGATGACGTCATCAATGGACGGCCCTGGACACGCCTTGAGCTGAATGTTAGCAGTTTACAACTATCTGAATTGATCTAAACTCTTTTACCATCACATAACAATGCTTTCCGTCCTAACCTGTATGCAATCATGTTAGTAAAACACTTTTTTTCGTCCAGGATTCTTCACAGAAGGTGGAAAAGAGGGCCGAACTTCAGGACTTTCCAACTACTCCAGGGCTTTCCCAGAAAATTAGCCTGGGCCCACAGGCTTCTCCGGGTACAGACCTCCTCACCAAGGTCAACATGACCCCATCCCAACACCTGGTGACGATCCACCGTGTTGTTACAACCATGGGGGGATCTGGGAAACCGTCGCCAGTCACGATGGTTGTTAACACCCCTAACATCTCACCACAGCAATACACCGCACCACAACACGCTCCCAACACCACACCGCACCCAAACGCGAACAGCCAAACGCCCTTCAACACACCGATTAATCCTGCAACATACATGTATCACCTCACACCAATCCCCCTGACCCAGCCTCGCACCAATCCCGCCCATGGCTCGACCCACGCCCCTCCCGCCGCCATGTTCACACCCGACAGTAACAACATCACGTGCCCGGATAGGAAAGAGTTGAGGGCGGGAACTGGCTACTTCTGGTCCCCAGGACACCCGGAGAAGTACCCTCCCCTCCAGTGCATAACCTGGCATATCACCACCGACCACGGCAAGTACGTATACCCTACCGCGTGGGCTGTTTTGATGTGCTATTTGGTAGGTGGGTGGGTGTCGACAAAACGAAGGACAAGTTCAATTATTATGGGCCTCCTAGAAGCATTCATTCTATATGGTACTGCAGCAGAACCATTGGTTTTGGTATCTCGTGTTCTAGATATGTTTAGTAGGAGGTACCGCTTGGGGTCAGGTTGTTGGTTTGGAGGTCCCCTAGCAGCGTTTAATGGAACTGCAGGCTTTTAAAAAACTTTTTTATGGTTTGTGACCGTTTTTCGTTGTGTCTCACGCCTTCCAGCTGCATCACGATCACGTTCGAGGCCTTCTCGCTGGAGGGAAACCTGATTTGCAAGTACGACAAGGTCTGGGTCGTGACTAACGGCAAGACGCGGTACGGCCCGATGTGCAGCACCGACCTGCCCAGGCGCCGCAGGGGGAGGGAGGTCCAGCTGACGTTCCGCTCGGACGGATCCTTCGAGAAAACCGGATTCAAAGTGCACTACAGCAGCCAGCCGTGGGACGGGCCGGGGTGTGGCTGAAAGCCATGAGATGTGCCTGTGTGTTTCTAGTGTTCAAGACAGCAGGCGTTGTTTTTTCCTACAATTTCAATGTGTAGTATAGTAGCGAGGTTTCAAGAACATCGCCATTTTAGAAGCAACAGTTCCTTTGAAAACCCTTCCCGTGAAAAGAAATATTTAGTAGTATCGTAAGTCAAACTGTTTTTCGTTGTTATTACTCAATTTTGTTGTAAAATGGATTGAGTTTTGCACGAGGTCTTACAATCAAGGCATACAAATATACATATACTAGTCATGCAAACATCGCTTTTTGCCACTGGAGCGATATTTATGTAAAAAAAAAGCTGTAGAGCTGTGAGATATTGTGGCACTATTTCATTCAACGTTTTAATATAAAACTCTGTCGCTAAGACAACAGATGTTGAGAAATTGAAACAGCGAATAAAGTACGTTGATATAGTTTCCCCCCTTTTTTCCAAATGGGCTGTGACGTAGCTGTATGTTCTTTGGGTACAGGAAAAGATGATCGTTGACGATTGGTTGAAAGACAGTTTAGGTTCAAATGTTGTTTTTAAAAGTGAATGACATGGCTTTGTGTTGTATTACGTAATAGACAAAGTTATATGAGCTATAAGATTTTAACTTATCCCTAGCTCAAACACATTTTGTGGATGACGCAAAACTCCAAAGAAAGTATTAACGACAACTGTCTTTTGTTTTACATTATCCTCTCTTTCCGATTACGTGTACAGTCGGGATTTTCTGTGTGATGTGATGAATAAAAAGTGTGATGTGATAAATAAAAATCTCTGACCTTAACATCTATCTGTTTTGTCATTTCTCAATTTCAAATTTCTGACGTTTCTGTGTTGATACTATGATAATATTTCCTAAATAATAGTATATAAGTGGAAAAGTTATGCCGTCTTAAGTTAATTCAGCCTGTTTACATGTGGACGTTAGGACCGAGAAATCAACAGGAGTTGGACCAGGGGTGAAAGTAAAAACGTAAAACAAAGTAAGTTATTACGCATTCTCCATTACCAAACGTAGAAATAAACAATGAAAATTACCTAAAGTAGGTGTGTATTTAGGGTAAGGTATACATGTAAACTATTGAACCAAGATTCTATAGTTTTCCCCCTTTGTTTCAAAAGCTACGTTCTTTAGCTAAAGGAACAGGAAAAGTGATCTTTATTCACATCTAAGAACATGGAATGCGGAAACCCTGAAGGAACCCACCAACGCGTCTAGACTCTCAGTTCCAGGCATCGTTACTGTCGGAAAAGTAAAGATATTGGTCTGGGTCTTGTTTGCGAGCACTGATTGTT